CTTCGGGAAGTGACTTGGAGTACTTGTTTCGCAGTTCACGCACAACCAAGGACGCCTTGAAGAACGTTGCTGCTGCCAATAGGATAATCTTTTATAAAAAGAAATCTTTTTCTCTTCAGCTCTCATGTGCGTCCGATTCTTGAATACAGTTTGCGCTCTGATCGAAATCCGTCTCGATGCTTTGGAAGCTGATTTACTATCATGAACTTTGACAAATGAGCTTGTTCTTCCTGTAGTTTCGCCGTCATAACCGTCGTATTGACTTGATTTACACCATTCGTATTCTACGACGTGAGACGGGGAATAAGTTGCATGAGTCCTTTCACTTTTGTGCGGATAGTTCGACATATGGCCACTCGAAGCTGTTGAAGTGGAGGATGGTTCAATGTTACTTTCTCAGCTCGTGTGGTAGATGACTGGAACAATCTATCTGATCTAGTAGTCAGGGATGTGCGCGCATGGATCATGCTGTGTTCACTGCTACCGTAGTGGTCCCTTTTGGAGTATTGTGTCGCAACAACCCTGGCCGCAGACGGTCAGCCGTCCCATTTGGGCGTGTCACTCTTAAAAGCAAAAAGCGAATATGAAAATAAATCACGTAGTACGTCTAGACTTGCTGTTAAGTATTATTATAAATAAATAGATGTTTAATCCTTGACAATGCGATACACGTCTGCAAATGCCTAAAATGAAGGAGAGCGCCGTGACTAGACTTTACCGTGGTGCGATGGTTTGTTTGCCTCGGTGATCCATTGAGCTGTGTTTGATGATGCTTCTTGCACCTCCAGAGCCACTCATACTAGATTAGTCAGTGGTTAGTGGCCAGACAAACTCGCTCTCCTGACCGTCCAGATTTTGGTGTAGGAGTGAGGGTGGCTCCTTATTCCTTAAAACGGCCTTCTTGTAGCCCACCGCCAAACCCGCTGCGTTGCGGTCAGGTTTTTGAACCAAAGGCTTTAGTTGAGAATTCTAATCGTTCTACTATCTAGGGCTGCGCAAGCTAACAGTATCCTACCCACGCAAAACAGTGAATCTTTCGTCGAACATTTTCCTGATTCTCTGGTCGTCGCAGAGGATAATCAACGGTATCCTATCTGTTGCATCGAGCGGGGTGGATAGAGGTTTGGATGCTGATGCTCAAACCTTCCCATCTTCTTTTTCTCCCTCTTACGCTTCTTCACTTTTATCGTCCCCCTTTTACTCCAATGGTCTTTTGTCTTCTACTTTTAACTCACGAAATCGCAGAGCATCGCTCCAGTTCAATTGACAAGTCCATGTTCAACCAAGCGGACAACCACTTCATCCCTTTCCGTTTGGACCCCTCGATCCTCCTAAGACTGGCATGTTTCAGCGTGCGCACTTTCTTGCAGATCGGTCAACAGGCGGCACTTGCCCGATGATGGCGACCCTCTCGATCGATATCTGCTGCCTGTCACGAAACCGCCTGCAAACTTCAAGTTCCATGACTACCTTGCGACCTCTCACAAGCGACACTAGCGGCACTTTCTCTTTGCTTTTGTCTGGAGATAATGCAACTTCAGGTGCTGATCAGTCTGGTGCGGACATTGCTCTGAACTCCCAGGCTGAAGCGGCATTGATTGATTGCATCTCAATCAGTAGCCGGTTATGTGTTGTCCGTTTGGTCGGTCCGTTCAAAGCTACGAAGTCGCGCGCAGACAAACGGTGCCTGTTTGTCATTGCGACCTACGCGCCCACAAACTGTACCCCTTACTCGGTAAAAGACTAATTTTCTCACCAACTGAACGAGCTCCTTCGTTACGGAATAAATATCGATGCTGTAGTGCTGGTGATCGCAACACCCAAAATGGCATAATTTCCACTGATGAGCTGCATTTAAGCGGACAACATGGTGTAGGTCCCCGGAATGATGACGGTGGGCAGTTACTTCATTTGTGAGAAAATGCTCGCATATTTCTTGCGAGCACTAACTTCCGTCAAAACCGTCGCCTGAGGATGACATGACACCCACCAGAAATGGACGCAAATTGTTCACCTCTCGATCAGTTACTGCTGTATAGGATCTGTTCAAACCTTCGCTTTAGTTGGAGCACGAGCGTGGACTCTGACCACGGACTCGTTTGTGCCGCTCTTGCAGTTCGCTCCGCTGAGCGCATGCGAGGACATTTTGAGCGCACAGAAACTAGCTAACTGGTGAAGCCAGATGTCCTGCATACGTAACGAAGTACGCTGGTATTCTGATTGAGCAAGCGCTCTCTGAATACGTTTGATGGCCACTGGTCGCATATCCACCAGACGTTATTAACAACGGACATGTATTTATGTGGCAAATCAAGTTGCGAACCTGGATATCGGGTCTTTATGCAGTCTTTGGAATTTCTGGGTGCTCTCCGACACAGTCCGGCAGGAAGCGAATAAAATGAGACTCGCAAACGTCTAAGGGCGAAACTGCGTGCTAGCCTGGAGAGAGACCACGAATCCTCGTAGTCTCATCGTGCGTCGAAGATATAAACGGTCACTGCCTTTGATAGCCATAATGATAGACATAATGTTAGTGATTCTATATGTGACGTGAGTGGACAGCCTATCTTCTGGTTGTCAAAACGCTTGGAGTGTTGGGTCGAACATTTTGGAAAGCACTTTAATCAGCCAGAGTTGCCATCTTTGTTATCTGCGATTGGTCTCCCTACTTCCTGGACGGTTCACTTGGGTCCACCCTCACTCGCGGTAGTCGAACGCGAGGTAAGACTGTTGAAACTGAGTAAGTTCGCAACACCTGATGATCTTCCTCACGCTCTCTTCAAGCTAAGAAGACCTGCTTTTCTTAATGATTTATAACAATTATTACTAATAGTGTGAGAGCTGCATATTGTCGCATCCGATTGGAGTCGCTCCGTTGTTGGGTCGCTTTTCAAGAAAGGCAACCTAGAGGTTTCAGTCTGATCTCCATCGCCTCTAAGTTGCTTGCGTCTGTGGTGCTCCATACACTGACTAGCATCAATGAAAGCCTTGTTCGTGAGAAGCAAGACGGGTTTCGTCGAAGTCGCGGCTGTATCGATCACATCTTCACATGACACTAATTATCGGAACACCGCGAAATTTATTGCCGAGCCACCGTAGTTGTTCTCCTCGACATCAAAGGTGCCTTCGATTCGGTGAATCGATGTGCTCTTTGAGACTGTTTACTGAAGATTAGTGTGCTTGAGAAATATGTAAACAGTATCCGAGCACTTTGCGCGTAGCTCGGACAGAGTGAGGGCTTACTGCAAGCTGTCGCCGGCCTTTATTAACTCCAGCGTTGTGCAGCCAAGTTGGCCGCTGTCAATTTTCCTGTTTATCATCCAACTAAGTCATAGAGTCTGCTTTCACCAAACACATGGAGCTGCTCCCAGGTGAGCGACTTGTTGTCTTAGAGTTTATTGACGACATTGCGCTTGTCTTTAACACCTCCCAATTGTGCTAATCAGCCCTGGATAAATGAACTCCTACCGTCAGTCGTATCAGGCTATGCTTTGTACCATCGAAATGCATATTCTTTCTCCTAGGTTTTTCAGGGACCAGTTCTTGCGCTGATCCTCGGTGGTGATCAGCTGGAAATCTTCAAGAAATTCAAGTAACTAGGCAGCTATATCAACAGCACTGGAATGGAAGGTGAGTGCATAAACCGCATAACAAAAGCTCTTGGGGCTTTTGCCAGTCTCCACCACCTTTGGCGCCGGCGAGACTTCAGTCTTGCTCTGAAGGGCAGAATTTACAATCCAGCCGTGCATTCAGCACTCTTGTACCGTTGCGAAACTTGGTGCATCAATTCAATAGACATAAAGAGGATTGTTATGTTTGCTTATCGCTGACTTTGCGGCTTAGCCCATGTCTGATGGGAACACCACGTTAGCAATGTGCATGTTCGATGCATTGTTTATGGCACAGAAAAAGGAAGTGCACCGCTCGGCACCGTTAGTTCACGCATCAGGCTCCGATAACTGGGCCACATGTTGCGTATGCCAGGTTACTGACTCCAGCGACGTGCGTTGTTTGCACGCGGGGTTGTGGATGTAAGAAGAAGAGTGGAGGCCGTAATCTCTTTGTAAAGAGGAATGAATGCCTTCACTTCGAACTTGACCTCAGTTGTTGTCTCCCGACTGCCGCTGGACTGCGTTCCCGATGACGAGGAACACGTTTATTTGGACACACTAGTAGACGTGGCAAGGAGCCGACCTCAGTGGCATTTATGTTGTTCCTATGTCTCTCCCCATACAGCTTATCTTCCTGCTCCTACCACGGTATCTTTTTTGAGGCGTAATGTGTTACTGTGCAGTATGTTACCTATTCCTGTGGTATTCTATAATCTTTTTATATCGCTTTTTCGTTTATCTTATATTTTTGTATTGCGGCACAATATATAGAGTGTGTTACCTTTAGCTAATGTGTAATGTTGATGATGGTGATATTTGCCTAAAGGTCTAATTTTTAATAAAATCGTAATTTCATTCTGCGCGGGTGCTTGTTGGAAAGCCATGAATGACCGTTTATATACCCCAACCTAACTCTGTTGGATACATTTGGGATGAATTTCGTTCATTCAAAAAAATTTCAGTATAAACTTACGACTTTCTTATCTCCTTTCGTACCGCGTCAGAAAGTGTCTCTGTAGCAAGCCAACACGTATGATGTCGTCTAGCGTAAAAGACTATTGTTGTCTTCTCCTCCATTTGTCATCCCATTTCGTTTTCGAGCTTGTTAGTGTTGCCGTCTCCGGTTCGTTTTCACGCTATTCATCCTTTCACCTCGAGCTCAGCTCTCCATCGGCAGCTGTGGCAACGGTATCCAGTTTGCCACAAGGTGTAAGTCATGCGCACCATCCATCCAGCTCTCTGTCTCTCCTACTAGGTGTTTTATGATGCAATTATCTTGCCGCCTACGAGGTATCTGTTTTACATTTCAGCTCCCTCGGTTTATTACGACCCATTTATGCCCTGGACACGGAACCCCTCTCGATCAGAAGCATACTACACTCGGTACCAATGGCAAACACATTTAGAGTATGGCTACTTATTTGCTGTCACGAACTATTCCAGTTCTCTAATTACAAGGATGAAATTAAGCGGAAAGTTGTTTTATCTTTCAGAAGCAGTTTTGAAACTGCAAGCGATGTATGTTAATTCAAAGATAAATTACTTTTGACATTTCAGGATGCAACCGATAGTTATTTCGCCATTTCTTTGGATAAATGGTGTAGTTCGACATCCGATGCTGAGCTGAGTATGTTAATTGCACTGATTAACCTTTTCAGCATCGCTTAGAAGTCGTCTATCTCCTTACGTCCTCAGCTTGAAATTAATATTTTTCCACCAAGTTGGCAACCTTATTCACCTTACAAACACTTTCTAGCATTTCTTAATTTCGGAGCTCCGTTCATTCCTCAAACACCGTGGCCCTGAGCATTTTCCTCCTGTTCTCGAGTACGCACTATTTTCATGTTCCCTGATTACCACAGTCTTTTTGCTGCTTTATGCTGTGATCTCCGCGAAGACTTTTTCACATATTTGGAGGACGTTCTTTCCGATATCTCCAACATTATTCTGAGCCATTGTAAGCAGGCGGATGTCTTACAGTCTGCGTTTAACTGCTTAGCGCATTTGGTGTATTTCTTACACAGACCAATGCTTAGGGATGTTGAACGGACCATGAAGTAATTCTGATTTGTTTCACGACGTGGTAGTATGTTCTCCCCTTTGTTAAACTGCAGCGTGCAATATATCCCTCGTTTCACCTCTGAGTGCTTGGCATTCCTTCTCAGGAAGATTCCAGATCGTTCTAAAATGATTTTTCATATCTCGCATTCAGCGAGCATAGAGGTTTGTTCTTTGTCATCTAACGCATACGATAGCTGGGTGGTATACTGTTTCGTGAAGTTATCTGCAGTTCTACTGGCAAGTTTCACTCCTCGGCAGCTGAGGTACGTTCAGTGACCGCTCATTTGTACCTAGATTCTTTCAGAGATATTGGACTTATTTATGGGACTCGATCACCCGTCCACTGGTGCACACGATTCTGAGTGCACAGAACGGAAAACGACAACTCCGGCGTTCGCCTCTCTTCCTTCAAGCGAGTCAAGCTCACCTACGGCTGCCGCTCCACTGCTTGACGTTGTAAATTCCTCTGTCGCTTCTGTTTGCTCTGATTGCACCGACCACGACCAGATTGTATTTCTCATTCGAATTATCAAGAAACGATTTGAGCGTCTTCGTATAGCGCACTGTGGAAAAGATTGCTTTGAAACTTTCGTTTCTTTATTTAAGTGCGTTTTGAACTCTACAAAACAGGATCTCCTCCCATATGTAGAGAATGATTTTGGAGAGGTAAGCGCCAGCTTCATTATTGCGTTGCATGATTGCGACAATCTTCAGTAGAACCTGATTTAGTCGCTTAATACAGTTTTTTTCTGCTTCGTGTTATTTGACGACCGCTATTTGATCATTATAAACCTACAATCTGCTTGATCTCCACTTACTTCTCTTTCTACCATCTGTGAATCTTAGTCATACACATTGGTTTTCCGACCTCTGAGATCTAGCGCGTGACATCTCCACTTCTTTTATATCCTTTCATATCTGCCCTGTCACAAGTTAGAGGTTAGACAAACTGACTCAACATTCTGTCCATCGGTGGCTCACATCTTTGGCGTCTCGAATCATTTCTTGCAGTGCAAGCACGGCTTACTCCTAAGCGTATTGTCACTCTTCTCAAATTGAGCAGTAGAGTACAAACGTCCAGTCTACCTTTGATCATGGTCACAAATGTATCACCTAAAGCATGTTATTTTCATTAAACCTACTAGTAGTTTGGTAGCGTTCGTTCTTAGATTTACATATCTCTATGGCTGGTAGCAGCTACAATACACCTGCTCCCACGAGGGCCCGTGAACTGTTCGGCACGAATCACATTTGACCAAACGCTTCTTTCCCACTAAGAACCCGAAGAATGTAGCTTGGGAAAGCAGATGAGAGCCACGGTTGACTTGAAGTCACGCCTCAACCTCTTTATCGCTGGTGTTGAGTTAGGATAATCTTGTTTAACAGGCGCCCATTGGGCATTTACTGTGGATTGACTCTTCCAACGATTCCAGCACCCTTGTCATGGTGATTGTTCACCATCTAATTTGAGTTGTTTTGTGGCACAATAGCTGGGACTTTTCTCCTCTCTAACTAACTTGTTGAACGATGCTGATGGCTTTTCAGCCCATCTACCCTTTCAAGAATTAGTAACTTCCTGGAACCAATAATCGAGGCGGTGGCGTCATTTTGGTAGGCACACTATCAAACTTATTATCAAGCACGACCAGATCCGGCTTATCAAGTTGAGTAAAAGTCAAACTGGTCTTGTTTGGTCACTAGTGGAAATCTTTTTCCACCTTGATCTGTTTTCTCCGTTGGGATTTATCTATCGATAATATTCATTCCTTATTTAGCCGTGCCATTGCTTGACATATCTGTCACTTTAGGGGAAATTCTGTTGTTTCTCTCCTTAGTCGCTCATCCTGCAATGCTTTCGTACTCGTTGACCGTTGTTGTACCTTAAATAATTTACCGCGCAAACGAAAAGCTCTATTAGACTTTGTTCCATTGTCTTTTTCACGCAGGTATTTTCGATCGCCATTACGATACATCCTTCTGCCGCACTACTGGACTGTCTCGTTCGATTCCTTCATAGATGCTCTCAGCGGTACAACTCATTCAGTATCATACACTCGGTTGGTTTCATAATCCCGTTCAAATTGATTGTTTGCTTTTCTAGGTTTTGTCATCAGATATCTTCAACCGGCACCAACAAATGAAGTTTGTTCTCGATTTGTCTGAGTGGCACTTTTTTGATCGAGTAAGCTTTGTCATTTTCCGTGGGATAGATTGGTGGTAGCTTTTGCGCTATTCGTTTGCACTATGTGGTTTCAACTTTCGAAATTACGGCTGTCTGTTTCCCTTATCTTCACGTTTCGACACGTGTAGCTTCGTGTTTAGGCCCCATTTCATGTAGCTTGTGTCCTGTTGACGAGGTGGATTTCTGCCCTTCAACAATGGGCTGGAAATGTAGATTTACAAATCACCGCTTTATTCGATGGCAGTTGTGGCCTAAGGCATCTAGTTGCTTGTTCTATTTGCATAAGACATATGGTTTGTCTCTACCATTTCTTTTGCGTGATGACCGGCTGTTTGTTGTTCGATTATTGAACGGCTTGGAAAGCAATGCGTGAGTTAACCAGGTTGTTATGTTTCTTGACGCGTATGTTTTTTATCATTTCGTCGGTTATGCAACAAGCACCCTTGCAATCGCCCATTTGAAGCTACAGTCAAGTTGACGTTTGGGTTGATTTTACTACCTTACCTTCAGCACACACCGCGAGTCGAACTAGTCACTAATTACACCAGTTGCTTTTACTTGGGGCTTCATTTCTTAAACTTTTAATTATTGTCATTACTCGTCTGCCTGAGGAGAGACTGCGAAGCCTGATGATCTCATCGTGCATCGAAAATGGAAACCGCCGTTGCCCTAGACAACTATCGGAAGTTATTTCGTCTATTGCGGGAAACGAGCAACAGGAGACCTGGCGTTAATGAGGCTATATGTGATGAGAGTGGATAGCTTGTCCACAAGTTGTCAAATCGCTTGGAACACTAAAAGCAGTTTAATCACCCAGAGTTGTCATATTTCTTATCGGCCGTTGGTCTCCCTCCTCTCTGGTCGGTCCCCTTGGATTCACCCTCACACGCAAAACTCGAATGTGAGATCAGACTGTTGAAATTGAACAAGGCCGCAAGACCAGATGATCTTTTTCCCGTCCTATTCAAACTCGTAGGACCTGTTATTGTGGATGATTTACACGAATTATTAATGAAAATGTGAGAGCAGAAATTTGTCGCATCCGATTGGAGCCGCTCCATTATGGTCCCGATTTTCATGGGAGGCAGGTATATAGGGATCAGTATTATCTCCATCGTCTATAACTTGCTTGCCTCTGTCCTGCCCCAGTGATGATGGTGATGCCCCAGTGCACCAGTGAACGCCAGATTCGTGAGGAGTAAAACGGGTTTCGTCGAAGTCGGGGCCGCATCGATCCTATCTTCACTGCATCAATTGTTGGAGCACCGTAACATATATTGGCGACCAGCTATAGTCGTGTACTTAGACATCAAAGGCGCTTTCGATTCGAAGAATCGATGTGCTCTTTGATACTGTCCGCTCAGGGGTGTGCCCGATAAATATGTAAATGTCATAAGAGCGCTGTATGCGCATAGTTCGGGCAAACTGTTGCCGCCTTTCTGCATCTCCATCCGTGTGAGACAAGACTGCCCGCTTTCACCTTTCCTATTTACCTTCACCATCGACCACGTTATAGAACTGTCATTCACTAAACACGACCTACAAGGCGTGGAGCTACTTCCAGGTGAGCGACTTCTTTACTTAGTCTGCCGACTACATTACCCTTATCTGTAACAGGTCCCAAACGTGCCAAGCAGCACTGGATAGATTAGCTCTGACTGTCAGTCGGTTCGGACTGTGTTTTGAAATCTTGAAATGCAAAATCCTTCTCCAGTATTGGCAGCGACCAATTACTGCGCTGACCCTTGGTGGTGATCAGCTTGAAGTCGTCCAAAAATTCCAGTATCTGGCCAGCTATATTAGCGCTTGGAAATGGGTGTCACGAACTGCATAGCAAAGCTCGAGTTGCTTGTGCCCATCTCCTTTGGCGCTGCCGTGATATCACTCTCGCCCTGAAGGGCAGAGTTTACATTGCAGCTGTCCGTTCAACCCTCATGTACGGTTGCGAAATCTTGCCTACGAGATCAACAGGCAGATGTTAGCTACGTTCGATTATCGCTGGCTTCGCAGCGAAGCTTATGTCTAGTGGGAACACCGCGTGAGCAAGGAGCCTGTTCGGCGTGGCGTTTTTGGTGCAGGAAAAACAAGTGAATCGCTCAGCCCCGTTGTTTCACGCACCAGGCTCCGATGGCTGGGTCACGTTTTGTGCATGCCAACACACGGACTCTCGCGACGTGCGTTGTTTGGGGGTGTGAAAGGGAGAATAGGTGTGGTGGCCAAGCAGTGACTTAGTCAAGTGGAATGCAGGCCGTCACTTCGGACTTGGCGTCTTTTCGTGTGTCTTGACTGCCAGGATGCGGTCACAATGACGATGAACACGTTTGGTTGCATACACTGGTTGACTTGGCAAGGAGCCGATCTCAATGGCTTTTGTGTTGTGAATTTGTCCCTCTCCATCCCGCCTATCCTCCCTCTCCAACATCGATCTCACTGCATGGATAACATTACACTTAGCGATATGCTATTTGCTTTTTGGTTTTTAGATTCTCTAATGTTAAGTCCATCACTTTCTGATGTATCTTTTTTATCGCGAAACAGTTAGCTGTGGTGGGTTACTCTCCTTCAGCTAATTTGTAATGATGATAGTGACTCGTCTGCCTAATTTCAAAGCATCTATCCATTTCTCATTGTCACTAAGGCGTTTTCGATTTCAGGATGTGTTGCCCAATCTGGGGACTTTCCTTACCAACTTGAGCGACCACAACTTGGATGCTGAATATGTTAAGTATCCGGGGTCGGATGAGCTGATTACTTTCCTTCTTCGTCTCTGCCTAGCGAGGTTGCCACCTATTCCCGAGCCGTGTGGCCTTTTATTGGCTACTGACCAGGATCAATATTTTATACCCCACAACACTCGCCCTGTCGTCAATTTCTACCCCTCTGCTTCCGCAGGAAATGAGTGTCACCCCCTTGTCGATTACATCATTGCTTTGGCTGAAAGTCTCTCGTCCACACACCACCGCAACACTGCTTTTACATCTGTTCCTAAACTTGGATGGAATATTGTGCGCTGTCTTTTGTACATTCGGTATGTCATCTCCTTGTTCCACTCCTCTTTATTCTGTTTGTTTTGTTACTATTTGTATTTGCTTTCATTACTACTTCCATAACTTGTCTTTCATGCGTGCTCGTGGCTTGAGGCAAAGGCGGGACACCAGACTACACCCTAACATGGCTGTGTTACAATTGGCAACAACATTATTCTTCCAATCATTCTGATCCTCTCTTTAGGCCACTCCCTTTCGAACGAGTTCACACCGTGCTTCTACATGGTATGGAGGCTGTTTTACAAGGAATTGATTTACAACCGTCAAGTGAGTCACTACGCTCTATTTTTTGTTTGAAATTACTAAGTCCTTTCCTACTTAACGCATGTGTTTTTCTCTCACTGATCCACTCTCCTCAACAGTTGGTGTTTGAGGATAGGTGTATGTGTAAGATAGTGATATTTACAGGAGAAACATCATCAGCAGTACATCAGCCATTTGAACTGATGCTTCGCTGCCATAAAACCATAACGATTTACGGAACGAAGAATAATAAGAGAGAAGAGGACTGATAGGAAAAAACCCTTATGCTCTAAACAAACATTCATGGTCAAGATGCCTACCTCTTGTCAACAACATACCATCACAAATAGCTGGCTATCGCGCAGAGATAAAGCGGCAGCAACAAATGCGCTTCCTTGCGGCATTCACTGCCCCACGTCATAATCAGCCATTACTTCGCAGATAACTCAGAACCAAACATACTTTAAACAGGCAATCCGACTAGGAGACGGCAGCACACGCGCCACTGGTGTCGGTTGCGAGCCATGTCCTGTAAAGTCTCGAGCCAAGCACAACGCGAGGCACGTGGACTCCGGCCCGAAAGGCGAGAGGGACCGATGGCACCCTTGTTTGGTCCTCAATGACTTCATTTCCCGCTGCCAAGTCAACTTCTGTCCACTTCGAGTTTTGCACCACTCAACACGTGGCAGACCAAACAGAGCCCTCCTAGGTAAGTAGTGAAAAGGCATGCGTAGCACGTGCCCAAGCCAACACAACATATTAAGTGCTATCTGTTGTTCTAGGGAGCTAGAATGATTATCACTATCTAGTACTCGCCTACGCACATCATCGTTGCTGACACGCTGGTGCCATCTGACACCAGTAATGCTTCGCAGACAACGATGATCAAAGACTTGAAGGCGCCTCAGATCTTCAGACCGAAGGGGCCAAGTCTCACTACCATAGAGCAGGACGGCCCTCACTGTGGCCTTGTAAACAGGACCTTTCAAACGGAAGGAAACCCCTCTCTGTCACCAAAGATGTTGCAGCTTCAAAAGGCAGTTCTGGCTTTTGTAGGACGTGAACTGACCTCAGTAGCTACACACCCATCGTTCCTGATGTTAGCTCGACTTCCTCGTTCTCAAGGGTTAAGGGATCATCAAAAGGGTTATTGTGTTTCAGCAGCACGTCGCGCTTTGTAAGTGCGAACCGCATACCAAATAACGGGACCAATCTGGAGAGGTTATTTAGGGTTGATTGCACCTCCCCAACATCGTTATACAGCAAGACGACATCGTCCGCATAATCAAGATCAACTAACCTTTCACCAGGCAGGACCTCAACACCTGCATCATGAGACTCCGCAAGGGAACACTCCATGATGGAGTCCACGACGAAATTGAACAAAAACGGGGAAATCGGACAACCCTGACGAACGCCACTTGTGGTCAGAAATCTATCCGACAGGTCACTGTAGACCCTGACGCGGTCTGTGGTTTTCGAGTACAGAGCAAGTAAAATGTTCACATATTTCATGGGAACACCTTTCTGATCAAGTTCTTTGAGCAGAATGCATTGATCGACTTTTTTCCAAAATCTATTCTTATTTTTAATCGTTTCGTGACCCAATTCACTTAGTAGGTTAACTTTAAGAACATAACAGAATCACAGATGAAATATTTTTGGGCCAGAATCTCCGGTCCTCCCATTTTATGTAATGAGACGCGGATTCCTGTTTACATGGATCAAGAGTTGCTAGAGAAAAACGCACCGACGAACAAACATTTAGTAACTTATTCACGATGGTCGTTGCCGTCCCCCGTAGCTCAGTGGTCTCAACCACGGACTGGCAACAGTCGAGTTGCGGGTTCGAGCCCTACCAGGGGTCCGATGGAATGCGCACTGCTGATGATTCCCGAAAGGATGAAACGCGCGTACAGTGCTTTTCCGGGCGTGTGGCGGCTGTCTGAGTGAGTCTAGATGTGACGAATTTCTACCTGTACCATTCAACTCCCCCCTACTACTCTTCTCTAAACATATTTTTCTTTTAGTTGCAAAGGGATATGTTTTTTATAAGTGGCTTTCACTTTGTATTAATACCGAAGCAATAGAGTAGTCTTGTGAAAACCTGGTCACAAGTGGTTGATTCGAAATGGACTGACCAGCGCGACTAAAGCTACTTGTTCTGACCTAGTAGTAGCAGGTATCGCGACGACTATCGCTCAACCGGTTTCGCTGCTACATATTACCTATCACGAAGAAGCATGTGTGTGTCGAACGATGGGTCGGGACGAAGAACCTCCTCTCAGTCGCCGCGAGCATCGTACATGAACTTGTTCTGGCCGCTGCATGGCGTGGAGTTGCACGGAGATTGCGGCTGGCAACTTTCAGAGTGTGATAACCTGAGCGCAGTGGCGCTCGTTCAATCACTTGGGGTATCGATTCGGCGTATCGTGGATGGCTTTGAGGCTACCACCGATTTGAACTGTGCCACAAGTCCTTTCCCGTCCGATAATCGATTCTTCCGACTCTAACTTTTGGTCGTTTGCAAAGTGGCTCTTGGAGCCGGTACATAAAAGTTTAGCAATCGTACTCTGAAGGCCGTTCGAATCTATTGGACAGATGTTAGTCCCGGAAGTAGGCGTTGAGTTGTGTTTTCTATACAAACGTTCCACTTACTGTTATTTATATTTGCAAGCACGTTATCTAAGGCAACATTCCAGCGCACAACCTGGGAAGTAAATATTCAACACAACTCTTATTCAACGTAGTTTACCACTGACGAAGTTATGAAGTTGCAACTTAGTCCCCCATGAGACTAGTTCTTGCTGTAGTCATTTGCATTCTGCTTTAACTCAGACCCATTTTACTTACCTTTTGCACATACAGTAAAACCAACAAAACTTGACTACTCAAAGAACTAGACCAATGTCCTCAGGCTAGTGGCTGTGTAGATAGACAAGTGAGGCTGATGTTGCATTCCTGATGATTCTTCACCACAGTTGCGCTAAACCAACTTACAATTGGTCGTTTTAAGCCGGATAAATTTCCTTCCACTTTATTTGGTTTGTTCTGTCTACCTGAATAATCGATTAACTAGCCAACTTGCTAACTAACGTTAACTTTGTTGTGTTTGTAGTATTTTTTGAGTAACTTGTGGACATTTTGTATTTATCGCGGTTTCGCTGCTAACCAACGCTTCATATGCTAATTTAAGGACGTGTTATGTCTGCATAGCCGTATTCTTTAACATATATATTTTATTTGATAATGATGTCATTTCAAGTGATTGACTGTTGTTTGATATCTCCGGTGTGGCTGCGCTTGATGTGCATGTTGACAAGGTGCCTAACTGTCTAGTACCCACTACCTCGTCCATACTGGCTCCAGGAGACAGTTGGTCGTTGCTGGAGGGGACGGGGTGCACCGTCCTTGTGGTCGTGCTAGGCTCCAAGAGTGGTTCCATGCACTCCGTGTGGAGTGGACTACGGTCCAGCTGTCGCCTCGTGTGCGATTGATTCCCAAATACGACGTGCCTGTGGTTGAGTGCGGGCGGGTTCCGTTGATGAAACGTGGCTCCCATCCGCATGCCTCCTGGTCTTATTCCTTCGAGTTTACACTGCATATGGGATGTGTGGTTGGAACTGCGGATGGTGCAGCGCAAGCGACCCATGGTCCCTCTGTAGGCGCAGGCGTTTTTTGGCTGACCATAGTGACAGGCAAATCCGGAACCGGATGCCGCCAATCATGTGGAATTAAAACACAATAACATCATTGTGTGTAATGCACAAATTAGCAAAGGCCCACGGCTCATGGTTGCCTCTTTTTCGATTGATCCTCTGTTAGGCCGTCTTAAGTCACAGTGCACTGAGATGAGATCACTCCCACGTGTCTTGAAGCCATACATGTTGGCTATTGTTAGCTGTTGCCCTTGTTGAAACGCCTGTGCCGGGAGCACGGATTGTTGAGGGCTTGTATTTTATTGTCCTTAATTCTTTGCGAATAGTGCCGTATTCCAGTGCTGGCTTTGTTCTTTTTGATTTCGGCACAAATGCGTTTGCTTGAGCCTTCTATACGATTTTTCGCTTACAAGTAAGTCTCCGTTGGACATCCACATAGGTTTTCAGCGTGACTATATATATATATATATATATATATATATATATATATATATATATATATATATATATATATATATATATATATATATATATGGCCCATCCAAGGTAAAACTTGTCGAAGAATGGTGCTCCTGTAACAAGATACAGTTCACTCTCTTGACGATCCAGTACACTCAAAGTGTTTGATTACTAACCTCCCTACTTCTTACATGATGGTGCCACCATTTATATGCAATCGTTCATGTGCAGTAGTTGTCGACATCTGATGCTAATGCGAATAGGCCATTTCAAGCTCGGATACAGAACCGCACGGAGGGAGGCATTGTGCACCCTACCATAGCAAATGCCTCACAGATGTCTTATGTTGATAAATAAATAGCTGGTTTTGGTAGTTAGCATATATACCACCGCTTTGTGTGCACCGTCTCTCGGTCTCCCCAGAGGTGTTTATTTTCAAATCAAAATCAGTCATGATGCAACTCTTTAGATATGTAAAGCTTTCAACTTGTTCTGGATTGTTGCCGGAAATGTTAATAACAGGCACCGACACCTACCAATTCTGAAATGAAAGTTTACATCTGAAGTGTGTAAAACGCAGACTGTGTTCAGCTGTGACTATCATCAAACGTTGCAAGACGTGCCGGACTGTCTGTGGATCATCCAAACTAATGCAATATCAGAAGCATACTGCGTTTAAGATTTTATCGCAAGGATGAGATTCAGTGCTGCAGTTCCGAGCACACACCAGTACTCGGTGGCGAGTATCCTTAATTATAAATTCAAATCGAAGTAGTGCAACAGAGTAACTTTGGCATGCATTTTGCTCGTTGGGTGGCTGCGCAATTATTTGGGTGAATGATAAACGTATCCGGTGTAGCATTCTTTAGTAGTCAGATCCACAAGATAAGTTTGGTCACTAAAACAGCTAGAATAACCGAGAGCCCCACTATTGTTGTTCCTTGGCAGACATAACTGTGCTCAAAAATTTGATCAGGGTTAACCATCTGATCGATGTAAATATAGTCTGAACGAAAGCAGCATGCTCCAAACCGGATGCCGCCAATCAAGGGGTTCACTCAAAAACAGCCAAAGTCAATCCATGGACGTGGCTCTGTAGGGATACATCGTGCAAAGGTTAACACTCATGCTCGTAAACACTGAGGAGCAGGACAAAAGTGCGCACACAAACATGGTACATGCTATCCCCTCAGACGTCCGCAGAGCCGTAAAGAGCAGTAGTTCTGCGTCAGGAGAATATCACCCATTGCAAGATCCGGCTACACACATATTATTATTTGAACAAACGATCGTTCGGCAACCATTACACAGTGAACCTTCACATGATCAACTTATAGAGGTTAAGTGCATAATGACTGGTATGGCTCAAGTGGTCAGCATTCAACTGACAGGTGGTCAACATACACTAGTCTGATTCCATAAGGTTTCCATGGCGAACGTTTGAGTTATGAAGAAGCGGTCAACTTAGATAGACCGTTAGAATACATGGGTGGTCAACTTCGGTTTTACTGAACATGATGCATCTGTGATCTCCTTTTCACTGATTTTATCCAGACAGAAAAATCAGAAAACGTCAACTGTGTGGTGACTCAGTAATTTCGCACAAGCTCCTCAATCATGCGCTTCACGCCACCACGCTATCTTTTGATCCACGGTCCGCAATTTCTGCACACAAAACAGTGACCGTTCTGGATCGCTGACAATGGCTTCCAGTAGCCATTGTTTGAGTGTCTCGGTAATCCAATGAGCTATGCTGGGTGGTGCTTTTTTGCACCCTCAGAGCCACTCATACCAGACTGGTCAATGATTAGAGGCTAGACAAAATCAGTCTCCTGGCCCTCCAGGTGTGGTTGAGAACCCTAATCGTTCTACGGTCTAGGCGTGGGCAACTTGGCAGCAACCTACCCACGCAATGCTATGAATCTTTCGTCAAACAATTTCCTGATGCTCTGGTCACCGCAGAGGATAATCAACGGTGCCCTATCTGCTGCATTGAGCGGGGTGGACAGGAGTTTGGATGCTACTTCTCAAGCCTTCACATCTTCTTATTCTGCCTCTTGCGCCTTTTCACTCTTATCGTCCCGTTCTGACGTCACTTTTACCCCCCCCCCCGTTTTCAACACTCAATTCTTGCCGTCGCAACGAGACTGCACCTTAACGTGGTGCGACGGTTTGCATACCTCCTTGACATATTGAGCTACACTGGGTGTTGCCTCCGGGCCTCTTGAAAGCTACTCCTACCAGATTGGTCAATGGTGAGGTCCAACAAACTCAGTATCATGGTCCTCTAGGTTGGGGTTTGAAATGGGATTGCGTTCATTTCTGTAAAACTAAATCGTTGCCACCTCCCCGCTGCCCTGCGGACAGACTTTTGAGCCAAAGGCTTTTGTTAAAAACCCTTTCGTTTAGCCTCACCCTCCAATCACGATCTCAATTATTAGGCATAATCTGACTTCTTTGCGGCACAATAGCCGGCTGTTAGCTCTCCGGAACGATCTTCATCCGCTACTGGTGACTCAGCCGGCGTGCCTCTTTCATGTTTCTTTTGTATTACGACACAATAGCTGATGTGTTTTCTACCTCTAGCTAACGTGTATCATGAAGATGATGATGAGTCTGAGAATGGCGGCCGCTGTTTGCGTATCAGGGCGGTGAATGGCTCATCGGGGTTAACTCGGTGGCCGGTGCTCTGCAAGTGCCTTGTGTTTGCTGAGGCAGCTGGATTTCTCAGTTCATCCGATTCTGCCGTCACTGATCCCTTCCGGCTGCGTAACCAATTGGGAATGTTTCCGCTTAAGCTTCGGTCAGCGCGCCCGACATAGCGGTTTCCCCAGCTACAGATGAATTTGTTCAAGCAGTCACTCGTAACCCGGTTTTGTGAGCTCATTATGGTAATTTGCGCTTTCTGCTTTCTGACGAGGATTATCGAAGCGTTGTCAGCTATTTGGCCCGTTATTCCGTTCGACCGTAAATGTACGAATGCACATTTGGTACTGACTGGTTGTTGACTCCATTGATTCCTTTCGTCCTTTACATCATTCTCTGTGTCACAGTTCATTTCCACTTTCATGGCGACTTTGGCGAAAAGATAACGGTAACCCGTGTCTCAACTACAACAGTAACAGCACATGTATCATATTTCCCTCCTACACCGCCCTCGCGGATTGTTTTCGGTGCCAGTTCGCTTCGCGAGGTAGTTTGCTTGTACATCACAGCAGCCCCATTTTTATCCTGTACTACTTAGTTACCGAAAGCATTGAATGCACGACTTCTTGCCATCCTTCACTTTGGAATGGGGTACAGTTATGTGACTGAAACTTCAACTTGTCACCTTTGCCCCCTGGTGTGAAGCCAAGCTATCATGTAATCAATGTATCCACATTATCTGATGACAAAAGTTTCACACCTGGGTGTGTGCTCTGCATCTTCGAAGTTGCAATTTCCGTTACATGACCACGGCGAGATGAACAGAGAGTACCTGTTCGAGGCGGTCGGTCGATTTACTTATCTAGGGGACTATTGTGTCTGATGGTCGCCTCACCGAAGACAATTGTGTGAAATGAGGAGGTTCGTGTGACTTTCCAGAAATTTTATCACTTATGTGGACAGGACGTATAGATTTATCAGCTAAGCGAAGTTTGTACAATGCTGCAGTGCATTCACTATTGTTGCATAGATAATAGTTCTGCGCACTACGTGTCGAGGCCATAGAGGAGCTGGTTGTGTCGTTCAACCGTTGCCTCTCATTTACTGTCGTATCTGGTAGCGCGAGCATTTCTCGCAACCGTATGTGATGCATAGATCTGCACTCTATCCGCAGAGCTCTGTATTCTCTCTTCTTTAAACGGTCGACAGTTTCAGTTGGATTACACGCTTACCCGCTTATTTACCTTTGCCACAGTGGAGCTTCGTTTATGTCGTCCATACTACATGAACTTCTTCGTTCGTTCGATTTATGCAACCTGCAATTCAAGTCACGTGTAACTTTTGGTGACCTGTTGCTGCTAAGATCTCAACTGTATTAAACTACCATCTCCGTTGCTTTTTTCTGCTTTTTGTGAGCACTTACCAATGAAGTATCTCGCGTTTTCTAGTATTGCCATATGCTGGCACAGTTCTTATGTCAATATTTTGCGATCAAAACTGACATCTATCAACTTTCCCTTCTCGGTTCACTTCATAAGAACAGCTCTTCAGCCGAATGCACTCCGTCGATGACATGTCGACCTGGGAATTACGAACTGCTGTTTTTCTCCTAACTTGCTACTTCTACCGCCGTGTCGTTGTATATCGGTTAGCTTTAACCGTCCCGCCTCACACGACGTGTGTCTTTTCATCAACTTCTCTTATGTACGATTCGGGAGAAGGATGTTCTAACTGATCCGTACTAGAGCTTCGCGACTTACGCTACGAATTTTGTCAACCGACTTGGTGCTGTAGCGGCACAGTGGATGAGGACTGGACACATTACGGCAAACCGAGCTGAAGCGTTAGCTCCGATGCACCAATAACTACCAAATTTCCTCCATCTTTCTATCACCCTTGTTTCAAAAATGATTGAATTCCTGGGTTCTTTTCGTCATGATACAAGGGTTTTTATAAGTCTACAAGCCTATTCCACTCTTTCTGGGCATGGAATTTCCAGCTTTTGCAGAGTAGCACTCGGATACTGTGTTACACCAGCCTTCGGCATCCTTAAACCTTATTTTATGATTGATAGCAAACTGTATCGCGAACACCTCTTTAAAACGCAAATGTGCATTTTACACTTCTTGCTTAAAGCCGCTTACCTTTTCGTTTGTGTTACCTATTTCTCTACAGCTTCTAAATTGACCGACTCCCAAACCGGACGCTGGTTAGAACTCTTGGTGCTGGTAGAAACCGCATGTGAGCTGCTGCTAAGCGCAAAGGACCCCTGCACTCAACTTACTGTTTGGGAACAGTTTCCAATCACCGAAATGTTGCAGTTTGCCAGGTGAATCTCTCATTAAACGAAACCATACGATCATCTGTTGTCATAACGTATCCATCGTTGCTCTTTCATCTACTGTCATCACACAGGCAATCGGTATCCATTAGTACGCCTTGCACACTTTCGGACAGTTCTTTCTATAAAAAAAACTTGCAGTAACTTGCATGGCATTGGAAGATGGGTCGAGATATGTCGCTGTTAGACCATCAGCCCATGGTGGTCGGCTATCGTCCACCGTAACTGGCATAAGCTGCTGGCTAGTGGTGCAAACCACTAGTGGTCATGGATTCGATCTCTTGCAGACGCCCGAAGAAATGCGCATTTTTGCCGAGCCCCAATAGGGCGAAACAATTGTCTGGTGCTTTTCTTGATTGCTCGTTGACCTTTGTGGTTTGTACTCTAATTGCGATGATCCAAATAAATAACACCAAATCCTTCTATTCATAACTAACTTTGGAGGAACCAAGGTTTAGTACTTTTCGAAGTTGGGCTTCGGAGTATCCGTGTGTTTGGATTGCGACGCAACCTCTATTGGGGTCTTGGCTATACCAAGTGTTAATCATGGATCGCTTAGTGATCACGAAGTCAAACGTTAACAGTTAATTACCGAGTTGCAATTCCAGCCTGCTCGCTGCCGAAATGACAAGGTGTCTACCTTGCAACTCGAAGGTCACGGGTTCGAGCCTCGCGACTGCTGGTGGTTGCGTGGAAGCGTAGCTTCGGTTGGGCGTGTTACTGATGCTTTCTTGCCATCCACTCTCAGCTCCGGCTATCTCTGCCTGATGATGAGGACAAGCCAGTCGTCGAGTGACGTGTTGGAAGCGAGCAGCACAGTAATCTCTCTAGTTCAGGATTCTTGTGCGCATATGCCGGTACCTTATCTCCGCGTGCAGTGTTTATACCCTCATCAATATCATTCATTCGCGTGGTAGCAACATCATTGTTTGCTGATATTTGTCTTCATTTGACACATCAGAATCAGTGGTGACCGACCAGTCGATTACTCTTGGTCCTTTGTAACTTAATCATAATATGGCAACTGCGCTGCATTAGATGGCTGGCACAACTCCAAACGAACACAACTTTTCCTTTTTAAAAAGGTTCCACGGCCAGATAGTGGGGTTTTTGTTCTCCCAGTCATCTTCGCAGCGTTTCACATCAGCGAATTGTGTCTGTAACTGTTGGACTGGACAATTTCTAAATATGCTTTTGGTGTTGTTTACACATGCAGTGTCGTTTAGCGCACGCTGTTAGTCTCTTCTTGTGACCACATGTGGTTGGCTTTTTACCATTCTTTTGGTCTAGTTTCTGGGATATATACGTAGTTTGGTCGCAATTTTGGGTACAGCTATGATGCGTGGATGCCCTGGGTCGAATTATGCATGTTTTCTGTGAACGTAGTGAGTTAGAAAATGGGAAAGGACAATTGCATTGTTTGTATATTTCCGAGGCATTGTGGCTGGTGTTGGGTAAGTTTGGTTGCCCGCGTAAGTTTGTAAGTTTAATTAAATGTCTGCACAGTGGTATGCGGGCGAGAGTGCAGCTGAGTGGAGAGCCCTCAGATGACTTTGCAGTTATCTATGGTGTGAAGCAAGGATGTGTTTTAGCTCCTATCCTGCTTAATATTTATCTTCATGCAATGCCTTATGCTTTTTATGCGGCTTGTGCTTACGGTGTTCGTGTGGAGCACCGTATTGATGGTGGGTTGCTGAACATCCGTCATTTCGGTGCGAGAACTCTAGTCTGTGAGACAACTATCCATATGTTGCAGTTCGCAGACGACTATGCGTTGTTTGCGCATAGCGCGGATGAGTTGCAGCACATGACTAGTGCTCTGGCTTCGACAGAGGCTAAATTCGGGCTCACAATCAACACAAGCAAACTTGTCTTCCTCTTTCTCAGCCTTCGTCGGAGGTGAAATCTTCAATATTGCCGCGAATCAGCATTGGTGCTGAAGTATTGGAAACCACCTCTGGCTTCTGCTACCTTGGGAGTGTGATGTCGACTGACCAGCAGCTACGCAGTGATCTTCGTATCCGCGTCTCAAAGGCAGCGGCGGCAGTCGGGAATCTAGAGTACGGAGTGTGGTACAACTATCAACTTACCATTGGCACGAAGCTGATAGTGTACAAATCCATGGTGCTGTCTGTTTTTCTATACCACAACGAAACGTGGACGATGTACCGGCGGGATGTGCGATATCTCGAGCGGTTCCATCAACAGTGTTTGCGACGCATTTTGCGCATCGTTTGGGGCGACAGAGTTTCTGACACGGAAGTGTTGCGACAAAGTTGAGTGTATGCAGTGGACTGCATACTTTTGCTGAGACACCTGAGGTGGCTCGGTCATGTGTGACGTCTGGATTCGGTGCGGATACCGAAGCACCTATTATCTGGTCAGCTGCGTGTTGGGAAGCGACATTTGGGGAAACCGGTTACGTTACCAGGACATGATCAGTGTGAGCCTCTCACGTTCTAGTCTTGATTGCAGGTCATGGGAATCGCAGGCGGTTGATCGGCGTGCATGGTGCGATCTGATCACCAAAGCAGTTGCTGAGTTGCAAGGGAAATCCCACGTGTATGCAGAGAAAAGGCGGCAGCGGCAGGCGCATGGTGAGGTAGCACATGCGGTCGCGAGTGCCTGAGTCAGGCAGGCTTAGTATGCCATAACCGAGGCCACTCGGGGCCAACAGGGAAGCGACGACGGGTCCTGCAGATAACGTAGGCAGAACCGGCGCAGCGTTTGTAGGTACGCTGCATTCGTTTTACTAACCGCGTGCTTTCATGCTGAGTTACTTTATTTCAGGTGTTGGCTTTACTATATTTTCCTAATGCTTTTATTAATCTCATATTAATGTCTACCTGAGCTATCTCCTCTATCCTTGCACACGTCCCTTAAACTATTTTGGTTAACCTCGATAACATTTTCGTGTTTGTGCCATTTTCTTAAAATACATTTTCTGACGTGTTGAAATTTTTTCTAATTTGTTCGTAATCAATCTATTTCATATGCTCATTTCTTGAAGAGTTATGTCAGCATATCAGCATGCATTATTCGATTTATTTTATGTGGTATCGTCGTTTCAAGTCATTGGCTGTGGGTTGAGATCCCCGGTGTGGCTGCGCTTGATGTGCATGTTGACAAGGTGCCTGCCTATCCATTAACCACTATCTCGTCCATCTGGCTCCAGGAGACAGTTGGTCGTTGCTGGAGTGGACGGGGTGCACCGTCCTTGTGATCGTGCTAGGCTCGAAGAGTGGTTCCATGCACTCCATGTGCAGTAGACTACGGTCCAGCCACCGTCTAGTGTGCGGTTGATTCCTCAAATACAGTATGCTTGTGTTTGCCTGTGGATGAGTGCGGGCGGGTTCCGTTGATGAAACGTGGCTCCCATCCACATGCCTCCGGGTCTTATTCCTTCGGGTTTACACTGGATATGGGGTGTGTGGTTGGAGCTGTGGGTGGTGCAGCGCAAGCCACCCATGGTCCCTCTGTAGGCGCAGGCGTTTTGTGGCTGACCACAGTGACAGGCAAATCCGGAACCGGATGCCGCCAACCATATGTCCTCTATGAGCACTGTTAAATCGTGTACTGTAATTGGTTTTTTGAGTATGTTCACCACATTCAGAGTCAGTCAAGCAACTGCCACACATTGTTTAGAGCGCTAGATGAGCATTTGGTTTTACTACAACTCGTTTTATCCGAACCAATGGATTTAATCTTAGAGGACAGTGACCTAAGCCACAAAGCCGATAGTAAGTTTCGGCGGACTGCCAACACTGATTATTACCTGCAATATAGCACGGCTCATCGTCCACTGTCATGTATTTTATGAACGTGCGGAGGCGAGGTTAGCCCCTGAATTCACGAATTCCCTTGCCTGTGGCTACCGTTGGAGATGGCATGTAAGCTTCTCAGGCACTTTGTCATAGATGGTGATACTGTATGGGTTCCTTGTTTGCGCGCAACCGTCTTCATTCCTGTCCTGATCATAACCACGGATAGTTCATCTGGAACGGAGGTCCTGTCAGGCAACTGAATCATAAACTTAGGTTATACATTCGATATGTCCGCCTGGGGTTTTAGTCGCACCTTCTTGCTTAGCTTGTTGTGGTTCCTGCTTACCGTACGGATTATTTGCTGTTTCTTGCAGTCTGAACCAACCGACTTTCCAGATCAAAAGACAAAGGCCTTTGGTAACATTTGACTAAGCTCCAGAGGAAACAGAATGTATAACCAGAAATGGTTGAAATACATATGGTTTATGGGGAATGGCCTGGCTGAAAGTTCCAGCAACCACGTGATGCCTGAAAATGCGCTCGTTACCTGACCAAAGAGTGCGCTCACTGGGAAACCTCAGATAGAACATTCTCATTAGTAGAGTTCATGGTGAATGACTCACATTGGCTGGCTGATTCGCTTGAAGCTGCATCGGGCCAAACGTCTCCGGGCTGCTAACGAAGCACTGGCTAAGAAGCCTTTTATAGTCTGGTTCCCTTGATAATTGTATAATCTGCATCACGACAACCTACGACCTTTGCTTTATGCGTTGTAATGAATGCGCACACACGCCACTCCGTGTCTGAGCAGTGATCTTCCATATTTTCTGTCAGCCACTGAAGGTATTTGATCAGACCATCCATCCAGTTGTTTGCATCATATTTTGTGACCATACCTCCGTTGTCATTACAGGGGCCGATAGTGTTCGTTTCGGTTAGCAAACCAAGACTTATTTCAAGCTTAGGCGTCAACCCATCAACAGTTAGTAGTTTACAAACTTGTATTACCACTTGTGTTATGTTATAAACTCGATACATGGCCCCAGCATAGTGAGGACATTACGAAACCACTCATCCTTAACTCTGGATGTGCGGAAAACGACGCAGGATCACTGTGACTGAGGCTGCGGTTCCGTAACCCTTTGGCGCTAAATTCCCTGTAACCGTACTGGATCATCTGGTTGCTTTTCCCTGTCCTCGTTATTAGAATCGGATTCTCTGCTCGCCTGTTGACCGCGCATATTTTACCCTGGCCGCAGTTGTTTGAGTGCGCCCACGGGGTGCTAAACCGGTGCCATAGCGAATTATATTAAAGCCATTCTTGGGTAGTACTTGCTGTTATGCTACTCACGGTTATCGTTCTTCTGGCCTGTAACCAATCAATAACCAGTTTAGGGACTCGAAGGCGCCACTTAGTTTAACTCATTGGGTCGACGAACTACAGCGTTAGGGATTAGTCTCTTCAAGACGCTCTCGTACTAAGAAAAACTGTCAGCGCTGGTGAACTCCTTACGTCCTTGATGCGTGGGTCCTGGCGTTTGTCCTAAATCTCTACATCATTTTTCCGAGTCACTGTGTCATCTAGACACTTACCAAAGTTCCCCACCCCGCATACGCCGTTTGGAACTGCGTCGTGGCAGTGCATCACTATAACATAGTGTTCTACTGCTGATACTTTGCCTTGTTGATAGATGTCGATGAAAAAATACCGTAGATAATTACCGCTGTTTCATCATGACTTTTATCAGGTGTCTGAGCCTCCTCAGAAATAGTGGTGCATTATTACTAGAATGCTGCAATCCGCTGATTACGTTGTTATACGCTTTTACAGTCCCTTCACCGACTGGTGTTTAGGGGTGTGCTCAGCACTGACACTAGGGATTGTGACGATGCAAACTCGGAGTACTTTTGGCACTTCGTGGAATAGTAACATTGGAGTCACGGGCTGTCACCCTATTGCGTTGCTCTGTGATTTGGTTCTGTTTATCTTGTTTGCTAATTGCAATGTTGCATCGTCTTTGGTGCAGTGGCAGACTGATGCACTGGCTGTCAGTTGTTTCGGGCTATGCTTTACACTCTCGAAATACTAAGTCCTTCTTTAAGATTGGCAGGGACTCACTCCTGCACTGACCCTTGATGTTGACCAGGTAGAAATCGTTTCGGAATTTAAGTACGTGCGCAGCTATATTAGAGCCCTTGAGATCGAAGATGAAGTCACGAACCTTAGCAAAAGCTGTAGACGCTCTTACCAATCTCCGCTACCTGTGACGGCGGCGCAGCATCTATCACGCCATGAAAAGCAGAGTTTACAATACAACCATGCGTTCAACCCTGCTGTACGGTTGCGAAACCTGGCCCATAAGATCAGCAGATATAAATAGGCTGATAACGTTCGATCATCGCCGTCTTTGCAGTTTAGATCATATCTGTTGGGAACACCGCGTGAACAGTAGGCATGTTCGGCGTCAAGTATTTGCTGCAGGAAGAACGAGCGAACCGTTCAGTACTATTATTTCACGCACCAGGCTCCGATTGCTAGGTCAAGTGTTGCGCAGGCCAGCCCACCGACTCCCGCGGCGTGCGTTGTTTACGCGCCCGGGATCTGGTTGGATGAAGATGAGGGTAAGTCAAGCGATGACTTGGTCGAGAGGAATGAAAACCATCACTTCGAAGTTGGCGTCGGTTGGTGCATCCCAACTGCCGGGCTGGGGTCCGAAAGACGATGAATACGTTCAGTTGGACACACTTGCTGACGTGGTTAGAAGCCGGTCCCGTTGGAGTTTATGTTGTGTTTCTTCGTCCATCCCCTCTCCCTTAGATTCCCGCTCAATTACGATATCATAGCAAATGAATAATGTAATAATTAACATTATCTTACTTTCTGGAATTTTGCAGTGAAGTTTTTGGTATCTTTTTGTATAGCGGCACATTGGCTAAGGTGTGTTTCCTACCCGCAGTCAAAGTATATTCATGATAATGATGTTAATGATGCTTTGTTTAGATCTCGTGTTAAGTTAGTACACTGCTCCACATTAGTTATGATCATCATTCGTCTCTCACCACTTGGATGGATTGAAAACCACTGTTTAAAATGAAGTAATATGGTGTTGCGAAAACGATCGGCTAGTCAGCGTAAATCCACCCCACACACTACACACACCGCATCCGTGAGAGTTCGGAGATCTCTCTCCGTTCAACGGTCGCGCTTTTCTAATATGAATTGGTCGACAGGCTGCACCCTCGCGCACGTTGTACTCACTGGGTATTGCGTGTTTTGTCCGAAACTAGTATCATTGACCCTATTGATTGCGCTTATCCGGAGACGCTGATGCGGTAATCACTGGTCAAGCTAGGGCACGCATCGTTCTCAGCTCTAAGGCTGTCATCGTCGGATGTTTGGATTCTCGTGAACGACATCAACCAAGGTCGATTCACGAAGTTGCACGAGGCGCTCTTAAGTTGTGGTTGCCGCTTATTCCCCCATCGGCTGTATTTCTGATGCCGCAAGGACGCCTTCTACTACGAACAGAACACGCCTCTTTTCAATGTTACCATTTCATATGTCGTTGTATGAGTGCGAAAGTAGGTTGTCTGGGTTCTTCAGAAACTCAGTTAACTGGTAAGTGTGGAATTAACTCCGACCTTACGGACGACCGCGATCGTCTGTTACAGCTGGGTGCGGAGCGCCGGCTCTTTCTTAGTGACAGTGTTTAGGCACAATGACCACCTAATTACCACTTGGCCAGCGATAGACCCAATTAAATCATGTAGCCATAAGTTACAGGTGGAGCAGTTCCATCCTGGATTATCGCTCGTTCTGGAATGCATGCGTCGACATCGATCATGCTTTGTTACCCTGTCAGCTTTTTCATGAATATTACCGGGAGGCGTAGCAAACACCTCCTTTGATATCTGAAACGCTATCTCAGTCTTCCCTCAGACAAAGCTACTAAGACGTCCTACATAGTGAACATTCGCCCTCTTGACCTAAGGGTATGGCGCCTCAGTGGAATACAATCTCAGCACTCATGCACGACGCGGGAACCTGCGGCACCAGTTACCGGATATCCGAGATTTCTGCGAACCTGTTGAAATCCAGAAGACAACCTTTGGTTGGCTCTGAGCACAGTGCAACCTGCTGAACTAATAGACGCGAACTAGAACGAAGTTTGCATACTTAGAAGTAAACCTGGTGGACTCGTCAGGCTCAAGAAATGCAGGAATTAGAAGCGTTGGACATCGCATCACTGGTCCCAGGAAACCAGGCGCAGTGAGACAGTCAGTTACAATATGAGTGCCCTGATTTATAATAAGGATTACCCTGTAGCTCTTTGGGCGAAGAATTTTTGGGAGCAGTTTTGTCGGTCCGCCGTTCCTGGGCCTCTTCCTACTCAGATGCTTCTGGCTGAGCCTAGGTCGGTTAGTCTTGATGCTCTATCGGAAGCTGAAGTCCGAAACGCGAAAATAGAGGAAAGCATCAATAACGCATCGGCATATTGTACGGACTGCGCTGCGCTTGTGTTGGGTATACGGTGAGGTCACCTGCAGCTAAGTGCATAAGAACCACTGACCTCCGGAGTACAGGGCAATCGCGTAATTCTTTCGGTCACCGTCCGAAACGCGGTCACAGCACTCAATTGTTTTTGCGGTAACTAGTTTGAATCCCCTTTAACCCGCGTTATTTAAGTATGGTGGTGAAATGCTCTACGACACATCGGCGCACCTGTTCGAACAGGTGTGGAAGCATGATCATCCCAGCCAACTTGAGTGAGTTGGTCGTATAAGAAGAGCAGTCGCACCGCACCCTCTATGCTAACCACAGAGGCATCGATCTAACGCCGATGGTGACGAAATTACTGTCTTCAATTCTCATTCGTTGCCTCACTGCGTAATGCGTATCCCGATTCAGTGAAGAGAAGAAATTCCCATGGCAGATGAAATGTTCGCTGAGCTTGGAAATTTTGTTGCAAACGTTTCCTCATCAATCGAGGTGACATCATCAGTGCGTAGTTGAGTGGCGTGAAGTAGCGTAGCGTAGCCTAGAGGAGCCTCGGTGAGAATGCTACGCTACGCTACTGCACGCCACTCATCTACGCACTGATGATGTCACCACGATTGGTGACAAAACGTTTGCAACAAAATTGCCTAGCTCAGCTAACAGTTCAACCGCCATCTGAACAACCTGAGCTTACCAGTCTTCAATCCTAAAGCCCAAAAATTCCCGTCCAGGATGGGACTGTTTAGACCATATATTTACTATGCAGCAGGTGTTAGAACCGAGTTGAACTCAGTTGAATTATCCATTCTGTTCGAAATACACGCTCGGAAAAGTGTTCCCAGAAAGTATGTGAACATTTGACTTGCCTTGTACTCGAACACAGCCCGCATAAGTGTCTGCGGTGGCTTATGGCATATCTTTGCGACAACAAGTGGCATTTGTCAAGGCTGTCCAATTTCCCCATTTTCGTTCAACTTCGTCTTGACTCCATCATCTGGTGTTCCCTTATGCAATCACACGATGCAGACATTTAGGTTCTGTCTGATGAGCACCTCTGATCTTGACTATTATCTAGATGTTTATCGATGTTGTGGGGCACTATTTACCCTGGATAACCACTGTACAATAGTCTCATCATTATTTTGCATGCGTTTGCGCCTTCAAAATGCAAAGTATTGCTGCAGGCCCACCAGGCGCTTGAAAATCTTTCGACTCTTGATAGCAAGGAACTCGAGTAGTTAGTCAGTTCACTTACCTTGGCAGCTGCATCTATTGTTGCTGGGTTATCTGTGGGGAAATGGCTGGTTACGACGCGGGGCATTGAAAGTCGCAAGGAAGCTGTTTCGCTGATGCCGCGTTATCTTTGCGCGGTATGTTGTTGTCAAGGCCTAGGCGCTTTGACTCTTACTGTTCGCTTGGGACATTTAGATTTTACGCTGATTGGAAGTGCCATCGGAGATGAGCAGCAATCATCGTGAACGGTAAACATGTTAAGGCACAATCTGCCCTTGGTCGTACGTTATCGTACCCTACCTTGCATGTGACACTTCCTCTGTGTTTTCTCTTGTCACTCAGCATTTCTAATTTTTTTGTGTGCACACCGCAGCGTTAATCACCACCGCGACCCGCTCCTATGCTGCGTTGTCTTGCGTCTCTTGGACACACTTTTATGCACCCGGGCCCTGCGCTCTCCCATTGGATTCGAGGATTGTTTTGTATCATCAGCTCACAAGTTACTGCTACCTTGTCTACTGTCAAGCAGCCATCAAGTGAGTTTTTGTTGCTTCCTCTATCTCACAGTTAACCTTCTATACCAGCTGACATTGTTTACTCACTTTTTGTTCTGCCCTCACGTGATTTTTTCAAGCGCTACGTTTTCCGCTAAATTTGCTTCTACTTCCTTATCCTTTGCTCATTTCGTTATTAGATCCGGCTTCACACGCTTCGCATCCTCGCGGTGATTCACGGTGTTTTAGCGAATACGAACTCACATTCAGATTTTGGCATCGAATTAACATGTGCAGGTCCAACCGTGCCCATGCAACCTGTATTTTCTGTGCTCAGCCGTTGTTTATGCGCTGAACGACTGCGACTGGACGCACAAACCTCCCGTGAACTTCTGATCCAAGTATTGCACTTACATGCTGAGAGACCTAGCGTGAGACACCAGCTTTTATCCGCTGAAGTGAGTACATGTGTCACTCCGGTTTGCTCAATCGCTCGATTGTTCTGCATGCTAATCGAGTTGTAATTATTTGCAAACAATATTAGATTACAGCTAATTCATCATTGTCACTCCCAATCATTAGGCTTAGGCTAGTCTGGAGAAGCACCAGACGCTGGCGTTCAGACCTTCTGGGTCTCGTCAGTGGTGCGCCTCCTAGCGGATCCCTGCCGGGTTTCGCGTTCATGACTTCAGGATGCCAGCAGCTAGTGCCACTTCGCCATGGGTGACAGCCGCGGACCTGCGTGATTGATAGTTGACTATGATATATAGCCGTGACCTTGGGAAATCCGACCAACCGCCAAAACTATAAGCAGTGATACCGCTTCATTGCGGTGTACTTAGTTGCTGTTCCTACCGATCTTGAGGTGGGATAAAACTAGTTGTCACGCAGTCTGGGTGTATGGACCGCTTTTTCTTCTCATATTGTCTCTTCCCGATCGGTTGTATGCTTCCATCATTTCTACTAGCCGAAATTCGATGGTCATCAGAGGCCGTTGCCGTTATCTTGTTCTACCAATATAACCTCTTAAGTCTTAGGCCTGCTGTCTTATCTGCCTGACTTCTTATTAGAAAAGTCAGAGTCACACACACAAATTTTCCAGTGGTACCGCCGTACCTTCGCCTGCTGCCAAATCACATGTATTTGGGCACCATTTTGCGCGGCGGATGCTGTTCGGTGTTTAGACCAAATGTTACTTCTGCCCCTCCTTCCTTTTTGCATGTTGGTAGTTGTACTGTATTGAAGTCTCGATAAAATCTACTGCGATTATTGCTTTCCCAAGTATTTTGTGAACGTTAAGATACTTGGAATGAGGTGTCACTAAGTTTCAGACTAACCGTTATCTCAGTTTGAATTCCGCGTCATATATTTTGCAGATTGCACTTCACCACCTGCTAGGCCTTCTTCACATCAGCCTATCCTCCGCATGGCCTGCTATTCAAGAAGCCATAGCCAGCTACGCCGAAGTGCCTCCAATATCCTCAGAGCCAGGTTCAAGTACGGCAACTCATGAGAAGAGTATTACCTCTCCGCTTCAGCCCAGCGGCCGTGTAGAAGAATGGCGCCACATCGCCTCTCGCCTATACTGGACTGTGATGGAGCCTGTTATGTTGCGTGTTAGCCAAAATGCCTTGCAACCGCCCAAGCACGAAGATGATGTCACCCTTGGTAGGTTTCCACATACGATGTATTGTTTGTACTACTCTGTTTCTTCTAAGTTTGGAGTATTTTTTCCGCCATCAACTTCGCGGTGACCGCGTAGGTTTTCCTAGCAATCAGAGGCTCATCATCATTTTACACGTTGGCTAGAGGTGTTAAACACCACAGCTATTGTGCCGCAATAATTAAGAGGTTAACTTGGCCTTTAGATTTTCTTGTTTTAGCCTAGCTTCTGGATAACTGTCACATAAAACTCAGCTTCCTCTAGAACAACTTATGACCACGCTTTTGGTGAAACCTCTGGGTTCGTTTTCAGCTCCGCCTGCCCTACGGGCATGGTCCCATGAATATGCGTCTTCCCGGTTCCTGATTCGGGCAATCGTGCGAGCACAGTTCGTGTTTTCAGTCATTCGTATTCAACAACTTTGATATCAGAGTAATACTGTGTGTCATATGTTGAGCCATGCACGATAGCTAGAGCATATCACTGGAATAGCGCACTACTCTCCGTTTTGTGCGCTGGCGATATACACTGTCTAATAAAGCATGTGCTTGGCCAGCTGGTGACCATGATGTAAAGTCGACGATTAATTCACCGCATGATTTGATCTTGTGGGTATACCTCGTCCTTCTGTAGTGAGGTTTCGCGACCGGCCACGTCAATGGCGCCGTCATGAGACCATTCGGTGTTTTTCTACATTTGTAGTTTCGTTCCCTGTGCCTCAAACGATTGCGTGCTCTTACCATACTGTAACTCTTTTACTGCCTCTGGTCTGTCAAGTCACCAGCAACGTCTACATGGAGAGTATCACGCGGAGTGATTGTGTGCCCTCACACGCTCCTCAGTTTGGCGGACTCAGTTCACATTTACCCAGCCACACTGCGGCTGGCTAGTCTGGGAAGACCTTGCGCACGTGCCTCACAATTAGCCCACCTCATCCTCCACTCCTTTATCTTCTCTGGGACCTTCGCATACGGGACCTCCTTTTGTATGCCATTTGCTCACACATACTCGGATCCCTTGCCCTAAATGTTGTTCATTGTTTCCTTGGCTATCACTAGTGATTCCTGCGAATACTTCTCCATGACCGTGTTTGAGTTTTTGTGTGATTACTTCTCCAGCGTATTCTTTGGGAAACTAGTTTTTCTAGGTCCACTGTAGCTCTTTCACTCGTGTACCTCTCCACAGTCTCCACCCAGGACTCGCTTTGCATTATTGCCTTACACGCTGTTTGCTATGGTTGCCGTTTATGGCCCAACCGACTGCAGTCTTGATGCTGCCAAGGATACCCATCATAGCCATGGCACACTGCTTCACAGCATCACTAGCTCAGATATTGCTCTAATCGCAGGGGAAATGAATGTGCAATTGGGTCGTTTGAGCTCCTCTGGATCACAACTAGGTCGCATACTTCTGTTGAGGTCCGAACTCACATACATTGTCAAGTTTTTATTTCAACTTTGCCTCGAACATCCGCTGTTCCCGAGTAGCATCATCTTTAAGTACTAGGTGCTGATCTTCCGATCTTCATCCTTCCATCATCGGTGGACCCCAATAGATCACATGACCATAAGTTCTAGCTGTGGTAGTTTCTTTCTTGCTTATTGTTCATTCTAGAATGTGTGTCGATTCTGATCAGTGTTTTGTCACGCTATCAGTTTCTTAGTAATCTAACCGTAAGCCGTACAAAACGTTTCCTTTGATTGGCAACTGACAATTTCTCCCATCCATCAGTCAGTCAAACGTACGAGGACGCTTTGCCAACCGAAATTTCACACACACCCTAAAGACCGAGCTTTAGTGGGATAGAACCTCGGTAGCCATGTACAATGCGAGAGCCTGTATTTGAGGACCACCAGTCGTCACCGCACAGTCATCGGATATCTGAGATTTTTATGAACCCCTTGGAATCCAGAAAAAACCTCTGCCTATCTCTGAGCACAGTACGACCTGCTGATCTAATACCCTCACACTAGAACGGAGAGTACACGCTGCAAAGTTCGCCTGGTGGACCAGTAGTGCTCAAGAAATGGAGGACGCGGGTGTAGCAGACATTTATCGCAAGCTCTTCTAACTGATCTGCACCACTGGTCCCAGGAAAACAGGTCTCAGTGAGCCAGTCATCTACAGCGGGGGTGCCCTGATGTGCAATAAGGATTACCGTGTGACTCGTTGGGCGAAGAACTTTCGAGAGCAGTTACGTTGGTCCGCCGCTCCTGGTACCTGATTCTGGCTGAACTATAGTCCGTTAGTTTTGAAGCTCCACCGTAGACTGAGGTCTTAAACGCGATCACGGTCCTCAGTCACTTTTTACTCGCTGTTCCGGATTCCCTTTCACCCGCACTATTTAAGATTGATGGTGAAGTGCTCTACGACGCATTGACCAGCGTGTTCGAACAGGTGGAGAAAAATAGCATTCCAGCCAACTTGCGTGCATTGATCATAGTAGCGATGTATAAGAAGAACAGCCGCTTTGTACCCTCTGTGCTAACTGCATAGACATCGACCTAACGCCGGTGGTGACAAAGTTACTGTCCTAGTTAGTAATTCGTCGCCTCACTACGGAACTGGTATCCCGATTCAGGGAAGAATAATCAGATTATCGCCCAGGATGGGACTGCACAAACTATATATTCACACTGTGGCAGGTGTTTAACAACGCCACTGCTCCTCGACCTCAATAGTGCGTTCGACCTCAGCGATCGGTCTATTATGTTCGATATACTGGCCCAGATCTTTGCTTCCATAAGGCATGTCAACGTTTTTCGTGCCGTGTACTCGAATGCTGCACTTCGCTTTTGGGTTCTCGGTAAGCTGTCAGACCTTTTCCTGATATTAGGTAGCGTTCACGAGGGCTGCTGTTTTATCCCTTTTTATTTAACTTCTTTCTGGACTGCATGATTAAGTGTTTGCAAACTCTCGATGCTACCGTTCAGGTGTTCCCTGGCAGAAAAATAGCTTATGTGGTCTTGTCTTGTTGTTTAACGATTTTCGGGTAGGTCAGTAAACCCTCGATAAGCTCGTTGGAGTGCTCCCACCACTTCTTACGCGCTTCTAACCTTCAGAGTTCAGTGTTGTTTCAGGGCCACGAGCCCGGCAGGAAGAGACCTGATGTTGGAGAAACTGTGTGACGAAAGTAGACAACCTATCCAGACATAGTCAAAACGTGTGAAGCGTATGGCTGAGTACTTTGAAAAACAGTGTAGTCTGCACAAAGTACTTGGTTCTTTATCGGCCCTACTTTCTGAACCATCCCTTTGGATCCACTTTTACGCACAGAAATCGTACGTGAAATCGGACCATTGAAATTGAATGAGGCCTCAGAAGCACATAGAATTTTTCCATCCCTCTTCAACTTTTAGCGACCAGCTTTTGTGGATGATTTGCACGATTTGCTATTGAAACTGTAGGAGCAGGAGATTGTTTCCACAGACTGGAGCCACTCGTTATAGCATCACTTTTTAATAGAGACTCAGTTTCCGGATGCGGTAATCATTGAGGGAAGATCAGTCTGATCTGTATCGTCCCTAGGTTACATACTTTTATCGTTATTTTTAGACTATGTGGCACCTGTGAAAGCTTGAGTTTCGTCAAACTCGAGGCTACATTAATCATATCTTTACAATACGTCAGTTGTAACTCCGGCATTTATGCCGGTGACCGACCCCAGCCGTGTTTTTCAACATTGAAGATGCCTTTAATTCTTTGGAACGATGTGCGCTTTGAGATTGAATGCTCGGAAAAGGTATACTCAAGGAATACGTGAACATCATTAGGTGGTCGTATTTTCGAAATGGAATATGTCGATGATATTTCGCTGATCTGTGACAGCTCACAAACGTGGTAATCAGCTTTTGAAAGATCAGTACTGGTTATCATCCGTTTCGCGCAATGCTTTGCACCTGCGAAATACGAAGCTTTCTTCCAAGATTGCTAAGTACCACCTCCTACAATGACCCTTGGGATCAGCTAGAAGTCGTTCAGAAATTTTACCGCATGGGCAGCTTTATCAGCACCTGTGAAATATACAATGGCATCACGAACCGTATAGCCAAACCTGGAGGCGCGTCACCTGTTGCGTCGATGCGACATCACTTTTGCCTTGGCGGTTGTGTATCATAGTCTATCAGATTGACAGACAGGAAGGGGCTAGTTGCGTTTGACTACTGATACCCTCGCAGTTTAACTCATTTCCGGTGGAAATATCGTGTGAGCAATGAGTGTGTTCGACATTACGTAGTTGGTTCCGGAAAAGTGAGTGAACCGCTCAGCGCTTATATTTTATACATCACGCTCAGATGGTGGTGGCATGTGTTACGAATGCCAGCACACCGACTCGCGCGACGTGCAACGTTTGGGCGACGGAGGTTTGGATGGAAAAAGAGAAGTGGACTCCAACTGATGACTTGGTCAAGTGGAATGAAGTCCCTCACTTGGAAGTGGGTTATGGTTGGAGCCTCCTGGCTCGCTGGTTTGGATCCGACAGAGTGAACTCGTTAGATTGAAGACACCTGTTGATATGGTATTGTTAGTTTCTTTGTTCATCCGCATCCCGCTTAGCCTTCCCCTCCAGCCACGATCTCACTAAAGATGATTAATAATAATAATAATAATAATAATAATAAAGCCATATATATATATGCGTGTGTGTTTGTGTGTGTGTGTAAGGGGCTGTGACATTGCTGTGTTCTCGGTTTGTATGGCGTAATTGTCGAAAACTCGGATTCATCGTACTACCTTGGCTCTACAAAAAGCGTGGTAAAATGGCGCGGCTGTTGCGCAGATTGAGACCAATTCTTTTCTCTGGTTCTTCCAACGATTACGAAGCGCATAAGAGTCGGAAGAATGTTTGCAACTATGCATAAACTTGCTTGCGCCGACATTTCAACCAACGGATTGCAACTGCCGCAAAGACCGATCCGAAGAGAAACTTTGCATACGTGAACTGGTGTCCGAAGGCGACAGGTGATCTACCAATGCTAGAGAGCTCGTACTGACAGCGTACAGCACTGAGCGTGCGTTCGCGTTGGCGGCGCACCGCTTCTCTACGTAGTTCGATGCGTACCGCGCTTACCGAACTCGGCAGTCTGGATTGCGATGTGCATAAACTACTCGTCAACCTTGACAACATAAAACCAGCTTGGCCTGACGAGCACTAACTGGATTCTCAAGTCCCTATCGGCCGTGATTGATTAGTTCAACAGGTCGCTGTCCGAAGATTCATTGCCGAGCGATTAGCAAGCTTAATAGCGAAGCCGTTTTCGAAAGAGGTGATCCCAGCAACTTGTCTGACGCTTATTTTGGCCTATGTTACCGGGAAGATCGTGGAGAATAGTTTATTACAGTTGCTCCAATCAAAAGATATACTGACGCCTGCACAGCATGGTTTCTCGTGACGAGGTATGAATGGTTGCAACCTCTGAACCAAAAGTAGTCTGTCGACATGATATAGATCGATTTCATTTAGGCGTTTGACAAAGTAAGTCATGAGTTCTTCCTCCGCAAGCTGAGCCTGTACGGTTTTTGTGGATTACTGCAGCAGTGGATCCGGGAAGTACTCGTCGGACGAAAGTGGAAGGTGCAAGTCGACAGTTGTCTGATCGACTAGTTTCCTTCCACCGTTGGCTTACCCCAAGGCACAGTGCTAGGAACCACTCTGTTTCTAATCCATATCAACAATTTACCTCGGCTTCTTCTTCCGTCACCGTTTGGCATGTTTGCGACAACGTGAACATATGAAAAGTGATTTTCAACCCCGACAACTGTAGCCTATTTCAGTAAGACTTCGGCCCCCTCTCCATGTGCTCTGCGGAAGTCCGCCTTCTGGTCAACTCATTCAAATCGGTATTCATGAGCTGTGGAAAGGGTGTTGACCGCCGAATTTACACCATTGAGGGGCTACTGAAACATCCTACACTCGTGAAGGACCTAGGTGTATTGTCGCGCTGCGATTTGAAGTCCGTTGACAGCACGAACGCAATATGGCGTAACGTACTGAGTATGCTTTAGGCAATCAAACTCAGCTTCTGTACTTGGTCTGAAGAGGTTGCCACTCGCTTTCTCCCCTCCATCATAAGACCAATACTGGAGTACGGCTCACGCGCCTACTCACCAATCATCCGAAGCGAAGCATAGATCAAACGGATCCAACACGTCGCTGGCACGCCCATTTCAAATTTTTGAGGATTACGGCACAAAGACTGGTGCGATAAACTAGGACTCTACACCTTGTCCACTCGTCGGCTGCGAGTCGATCATGATGAAAAGCTGTATGAAGAAGAGCCGGATCATATATGATACCAGAGAATATTGACTGGAAACATGTTCAACAAATGCACCAGTGCAAACGTGATCATCTAGGTTGAGCTGTTACAACCGCTTCACATGCTATTCTTTAACGCAACCTCTTATGCGGTTTTATTCACTAAAACTTACTTTGTACCAACTGTCTTCTGATCTGAAATCGAGAGCAAAATTATTTACTGGTATGGGGCCAGGAACCATCTTCGTAATCCTCCACTCAAATTGACTAATTCGTAATATTTTTTGTTCTATGCTTCTCTTCGCTACATTTGTTCTGTAATGCCAAACATTTCCCCTTCTTTTCCGGAGTTAACAGTTGAAAAACATATGCCGGATTTCAGTGATTGGCGATATCGGATTTTTCATTGTGCGAATATCTGCTGCTAATAATAACTCAGAAAATTCGTTTTACTAAACTTGTGTCTATGGACAGCTCGTGCAGTTATCTGTCTTCGGCTGTCACGCCGCACAGTTTGATCGTATGATCGGCTCGATCCATTCTTACGCTGATGTAAAACATGTTATTTGCTTATTTTTGGTATTAACGATATTATACTAATTGCACTCAATTTTTCCTATTTTACATTCTCCTTATTTCATTGTTAGCTACGACTGCGCTAATCTCCTGAGGTGACGGATTGAAACTTCCAGATCATAAAAGACTATGCAAGGAACATTGCCACCAACTGACTGGCGTATAAAGAAGTCCCATAATTGAATGAACCGCATGACGAACCGGGCTGAAGCTTTATCGCCCATAATGTACGCATTAAAGCAGCGCTAAAAAAACACAACATATGTTAGACAGGTGGTGACTTACTTGCTTATTTACTTGCCACACCGGCATGCGACCAAATATATCATGGAAGTGCGGGAGAAACCTTTCGAGGGAATACGTTACATGGAAGCAGGTCCCCTGGGGACGGTTCCACGAGTGGCCGTATTACTTTATCTGGACATTTGTTTAAATCTTTACTTGTTATTGTTCCCAACTTTTCAATTTCTTTAATACCTTAAACCTGATAATAACTTGAATATCCGTTTTGGATCCATTGTGTACACAATTACTCGTTTTGTGCGCTCCTGCTGGACACATTGATCGGACCACATAGTAGGACTGTGCTTCGCATCGCGGAGAAATATACCATTTATTTATTTAGTCCTACATTGATCTACGATATGTTGCATCTGGGTGACTTCCCCATGTTGAGGCCGCTGCTTCACTTGCGAACGCCATTCAGCACATGGTAACCCCGGTACAAGCTTGTGCTGCCAGACATAAAGTGCGTTCTCCACCTCCGGTGCTTTGAAAGGAGAGTGGTAAATGTTTGGAACAGCCTACCAGAACCGGTCGTGGAGTCCAAATCTGCACACGGCAATTCAGAACTTTTTTGCATTTGAATTTCACCACCATTGCACATTAGCAATAACATTTTACACGTATGGGCCGAGTGTGATACTCTAGACCAGACATTTTAAAATGCTATATGAAATTTGAAAAACGGTTATGGTATCAACAGATGACAGATACATTTGATAACCATTTTACCAAATTCAGGTGGGTTGTACAGATTCAAACGTCTACTTGCTTCCACAACACAGTATTCTGTACACAGTATAGACATAGGTGTAGGTGTCTTGACCCTTAACGTTTACTTGTGACATTCGGGTCTTACACTGGGTCCCTCTTAGCTTCTCCTTCCTATTCTTCATTGCTTAGATCCATGTTGTTGTACTGCAACATAGCTAGTTGGAATTCTTGATATACGGCTCTTGATGATGATGTTCCTGATTTGTATCTCATATCCATATACTTAGGACTTGATAAAATGTCATCAATCCACCAGGTTTATTCTCTGAGGAATTCCTAATTTTTAATTCTTTTTTGTACGAAGTTCCAGAAACCGAGGGCAACACGCTTACTTGGGTGGATCTCCAATATCGGCTACTATTTCTCTACTGCTTGCAACCCAATCGCGATCATCTTCCATTTCAATGCGACATGTCTTTTTTGACTCGGCCACCGAATTGGACTTCATACTATTGCTCATTATGGCGATGTCTTCGACCCAGAAGTGCCGGAAAGAGGACACGTTTTTTGATCCCGCTGTTTCTGCAACTCTTCGAGTGTGTTTAGCATTCATGTCCGTTATCTGCTTTCATACTGTCACCTCTTCTGATTTGCTTACTACTCGTTTCCCGTTGTTTTTTTTCAATGCCCATAGGTTTTACTCTCAACGTCCTCTTAGCCGATCCGTGAGGGAGTAAGTCTCTTTTATTTTGCACTGAATTTTGAATATTTCCAGAATTGTTTTATACAGTTTCTTTTCTGTTTCGATTACTCAACTGCATCCGACTACTAGAGTAGCATGCGTCCGGCCGTTATTGTTTGCATGATCACTCTACCTCACAGTGATAAATCAAGTTAAGGAAAGACAGGCTGTAGTCACCGGGAAACAAGTTTACTCGGATGCAGCTCTGAATGAAATCTCCATGTACCTACTGGCTTATGGACTCCTCCGCGTTGGATACTGTTGCTTGCCATCGTTACCATCAGTCCTGGGGCTCCTTCCACCATTTTGATTCCATTTTAGAGCTGTCTTTTATCCTCGATTCTAGCAACGAGCGCTGTACTGTTTTCAGGACAAGAATGCTGTTAAAACTAACCCGGGCACAGAAAACGCCCGACTAAGAAAACAAATACAAATTGATCTACTTAGGCGTTGATCATGTACAACCGGCGAACGGCGCTTTGGTGCTAGCGTCGGGGAAAACTGATTCGCTTCTTAAAACCGTTCTTAACCACCAATGTGATTACCAAGATGGTACCGTAAAACTAAGTACACGTGCAATAAAAAGGGATTTCCAGTAGTACTGAACTACAGCACATAGTGTCTGCCCATCCAACAGATGAGCTCGCTCTGGCTAACTAACGTCCTTGTATTGCGTCCACATTGCACTACCATAGAGAAAAAATGTGACTATTGGTTCGTACTACATCGGTTTGGTCCAAATGGTTTTCTATTTCGGTTTTCCAGCTTGCACCACATATAGGGTGTCCAAGACGGACATTTCATTAACATGCAATGGCGGCACTAATCATCACGGTGGTAGACAGAGTAGAAGCCAGAGTAAGTCTTGCTTCCCACTACAGACACCATCATACTCGTGTGAAGTTTACTCCCTCAGCTACATCCTGACCTGCATACCACCACGGTGGAAGTCACTTGAGGATACACTTGTCATGGCACTAGCCAGGAAGCCTCGAAATCAAATGTATTAATGAGGTCGACGAATGCGGATGCAACGATTGCCTTCGTTCGCGGCACTTCTCTTACAGTTGGTGAACTGTGAAGCTTGTATCGATCTTACTGTGACCCGTACAAAAGCCACAGTGCTCTTCGGCTACGTTTTTCCGTGATTTCCGCCATCATGTGATTGAACACGATTCGGATGAGGGAAGCACGTTGATCACTAGCACATTACCTGCTTCTTTTGCTCTTACACAGTGGTAGCTCGAGGGCATTCATCAGGTTAGCAGGTACATACTCTTTCATCCAAATGCGTTCTACCAAGTTTTGCAGCGAATACCCGCCGCTTTATCACACTCCCTGCGGTATCCAATTGGCACCTAGAAACTTAACTTTTCGCAGCTAACAACTGCCTTCTGCCGTTCATTCGGTCGCCGGGCATCCGCTGTTGCATCTTTCGCACTTGTTGCAGACTGTGCAACACATCCCTATTGATCTTTACATGGCTATTCATGTATAGTCAGAACATCCGCGCCGCGTCTACATGCTTTCTACAACGCACGTAGGCAGCATCAGATGCAGGGTCCATCAACCTATATGGATGTTGTGGTGGCCAAAAATGAATAAAATGGCAGAGGTGTGTGTCCGGTCTTGCGATGCATGTCAGAAGGCCGACAAGAGCTCCAAACCGATCGATGCCCCCATCCAACCTGTTACTTATCCAATGAAACCTTGGTCGAAGGTGGCGATTGACATCATGGGACCGTTTCATTCTGCGCCACAGCACCAGAGGAACTGCTTAGTTGCCACGTGCTATTACAGTAAGTGGCCGGAAATCCATTTGTGTGGCGATGTGACCACTTCAACCGTTATACGGTGGCTGAAACATCTGTTTGCTAGATTTGGGTTTCCTGAGGAAATTGCGTCAGACAACGGACCACAATTCACGAACTATGAGTTTAAACGTTTCTTACAGCTTCGTGATGTGAAGCACGTACATACTGTCCCGTACAACCCAGCTGCCGACGGCATGGTTGAGCGCACTAATCGCACGCTAAAGGAAACTATACAGACAGCACGTTTGTCCGGCAGGCAGTGGGAAGATGCCGTTTTCGAGGCTCTGTTTACTCACCGAACATCGCACCACAGAGCGATTGATCGCACCCGAGGTGAGCTGATGTTTGGCAGGAAGTTGCGTACGAAATTAAACGCAGCTGTTTCGGCTGCAGAAAACAACGACCCCCACCAACTGGAACGTCGCCGGGGATATCAGTCATCCTACGAAAAACGGGCCACATCGCTGCGTCCTGGAACGTTGGTCAGGCTAAAGGAAAGGCAAACACGTAAAGGAGAACCGGCACTGACGAGACCCATCAGAATTACTCGTGCGCTAGGGCCAGGAACTTATGAGTTAGCAGACGGCCGACGAGTCAACGCCAGACAGCTATATTCAGCACTTCAACCGAAGCAATGTCCTGAAACGAGGGCCACCGCAGTGAACCAACCGCTGAAGAGGGGGAGTAGTGTGGTAGCCCGTACGCGCGGGCCTTACCACGACCGCACTTCGTAGCTCGTTCGGGCTTTGGTCGTGTTTGTTCAAGACCCTGCGTGCAGCGGACTAGTGTACGTGTAAATACAACAGATGTCTGCGCATAAAAGCACACAAGCCGGAACTGGGATCGTAACTGGATAGGGACTAGTGATCAACTTCGACCGGTATCGTCGAAGCCCGGTATTGACAGTATATTCATGGAATTGGACATCAGCATGTAACGTAGAACATGACTTAGTAACCAGTGAACGGTTGACACTTGGTGTGGGTTCGTGAGTACCTCAAACAGGAGCGGTAGTAGTGTTTTCGTTATTTCTCCAGCTGGTCTTCTACTACCCGGTCACCCAACCGGAACTAGGGACACTGCTTTAAGCCTTTACTGAATGGCGCGTTCGCATGGCAACGGAACAAAGTACTGGGAATAGCACCCACCGAATCCCAATGTGTGATCGATTTTTCATTCTATACGCTTTTAGTTTGACAAGCTATTGAACAGGAACCCAGTTTCCTTCATAATTTCAGTTTGAATCAATCAGAACACCATGCACCACTGGGGTGAAATAGCGAGCCTTGATTCGAGCTGATGGGACCACAGCGTAGCTGTTGAACAAAAGTTTATGACTTTTTATAAGGAGAGCGCTTATAATGCGAATACTCACCGCGTCATGAAACATCGTGGCCCCCAAACCATTCGATAGATCGGGACTACCCCAAACCTCGGAGCTGTCCCTACCCGGTAGTTTGGCGAGCCATGCTCACAGAGATGAACCAGGAATGTTGTTCACAATATTTCGGTTTTCTTCTCTGACGATGTTACTCTTCGGTGTGATCAAAGATTGCCCATGCTTGTGTCATTCTTTTTCCGCCATTATCGTTTTTTCATATCCTTTTGCCCCCTCCGGTCTCGTATTGCATTGCATTAAGGTTTCAACTTCATTCTCGTAAATGCGTCTCCTCATTCAAGCACAGCTTAGTATTATCGCTCCCTCTTCATTTAGTAGCAACATTATGAGCACGTCTACCATAATCCATTCCAAGCGTCCTGCTTCTCTTTACTCTAGGCTCTATCTGGTTACCTTGGAACTATTCTCTAAACTTCCTAATATCAAGTCGATTCATCTGGAAACACAATTTCGAGCAACCCTTTATGAAGTAAGTTCACCCTGATTTCCATCCGTCCCGGCTGCCTCCTTTCCCCTGTTCTTTCTGCATCCATTTGTTCGTAGCGGTGAGTTTTAATGATAGCATAAAGTCACATCTGGACCCCAGTTTTTTCTTCCCGTTGTTTTGCTCACAATCACATCGTCCTCATTACGGCGATTTTTTCGTTCGCCTGGGTCTTGCACCGATCCCCACTACTTAACACGTATGGTAAACTCAACGCGCACCAGTATGGTCGTGGGATTTCACGTGCGAAGCTCATTCTTCATGGGTTTTATTCCTACTGCCGCACTTCCCTGATTCTTCTGATCTGCAGTTTCAACGATTACTGGGCATATTTACTTCCACTTTGTATTCATTCATTCTTACCTCTGCTCTCTATACTTTAGATGCTGACTAACAAACGGCCAGACATCCAAAAAGCTGCGTTTCAATGTCTTCTGGCATACAAAAACACTGCGCTGAACACCTACAAGTTCGTCTCTTTGCTTCCGATTTACCGTTGCATTTCTCTCCCTCGTCATATTCGCAAATGTTGTCACAGATTCCGCTTGCTTTTGGTCCCACATGCAATACACAATGACAGGCGTTGGATTCCTCCCCAAGTTTTTACGCTACATGTCTCCTTTGTGCTATCGTTATCGAAGGTCCTCTCAGGTGTAAGCCAACACACTGATGTGTTTCCCTTGCCTACGTCAAGTAGAGCCTACCTTTCACTTTCCGTTTGTTCAATCGCTTTGCAGTCCCAACCATTGATCTCACAATTATTAACTTAAAAGGACTGCGAATTCCGTATTGTCACCCGTTCGTCTATCGCCCCATCTGAACTTCGACCATGTAAAATTATGCACATGGATAACACACATTGTTACGGTTTATGTGAAGCGTCCAACCTCAAGGCCTCTTCTTCCAAACACTGAATTGGATCGTTAACCTATCATCAGCGAGTGAGATGGAAAAGTCGATTGTGCAGCGCCTGTTATCACAGTGACCTCCGTGAATAATTTCCTATGGACTGGTACATACCCATAGAGTTGTTCTAGAGACTTAAGAATAGAATAAAATTTCTCTGAAATGCTGTTCAGCTATGGCGCCATCACAGGCCTTTAAATTATGGAAGAAGTATTAAATAAATAAACTTTTGTTGCCGAAATTTTCGAGGCATGCGTCGCTAAGCACGATATGCTCTCTACCCAGCGGAAGCTGTCGGTCGTTTCTACTTAATGGTGCCATCACGAAAAGTCGCAGTGATTTAATGGGAGGTTTGAACCAGTCGAATGGTTCCGTAGGATTCCATTACGTTTCGGCTTAGCACGGAAAGTTTCAACGGAAGATGCGATCCTGTGTCGTGCAGTCAATTACCATCCTGTACAGTTCACCGAAGATTAATCTGGCAAGCATATTGCAAAAATGTTCCATTTGAAGGTTGTGTACCTCAGAAAGATTTGGCAATCAATCTCACTAGGATATTGCAGCAATTTCATCGCTGCTATCTTGGTTGTAGCAGTATGAAACGGGTTGTTGCATGCTTGCCGATTGTTGGCCGAACATAGACACAATTTGAACGGATAACAAGCCCATGTTCTTAACTAGCATGTGTCAACTGGGCACTTCTGAAAGCACGATTGTTTCCATGACATCATCATCATCATCATTATTATACATGTCAGCTAGAGATGGTAAAACACCTCCGCTATTGTACCGCAATACATAAAGGAAATACATACATACATACAATACATAAAGGAAAAACAAATACGACAGTTGAATGCCAGCTGAGCTACTAGCAACGGATACGCATCGTTCCGGTAAGCTACTAGCCGGCTACTAGGCAAAACCAAAAATTTAATTACGTTTTACCCTACGAAATAAGATCGTAGATGGAGGGGGAGGCTAAAGGGATGGGGAGGGACAAAGAAACTCACAGCAGGAACGCCACTGAGGTCGGCTCCTTGCCATATCAGCAAGTGTATCCAGCCAAACGTGTTCACCGTCTTTTGGACCCCAACCAGGGAGCTGTGAAGCTCCAACTGAGGCCAGCTCCGAAGTGAGGGCCTTCATTCCTCTGGACCAAGTCATCGCTTGGCCACCTCTCCTCTTCTTCCACCCACATCCCCGGTGAGCAAACAACGCACGTCGAGGGAGTCGGTGGGCTGGCATGCGCAACACGTGGCCCAGCCATCGGAGCCTGGTGAGTGAAATGACGGTGCTGAGCGGTTCATTCCCTTTTCCTAGGCCGTAAACAAGGCGCCGAACACGCTCGTTACTCACGCGGTGTTCCCACCAGATGTGAGCCAAACTGCGAAGGCACCGATGGTCGAACGTAAGTAGCCTCTTCATGTCCGCTGATCTTAGGGGCCAGGTTTCACAACCGTACAGTAAGGTCGAACGTACCGCTGCATTGCACACTCTACCCTTCAGGGCGAGAGTAATGTCGCGCCGTCGCCATAGGTGGCGAAGGTTAGCAAAAGCACTTCGAGCTTTCGCTATGCGGTTCGTGATCTCGTCTTCGATCCCACGGGCGCTGATACAACTTCCCAGGTAATTGAATTTCTGAACGACTTCTAGCTGATCCCCACCAAGGGTCAGCACAGGGGGCGAACCCTGCCAATCCTGGAGGAACGCTTTGCACTTTGATGGTGCAAAGCAAAGCCCGAAGCGGCTGACAGCCAGTGCTAATCTGTCTAGCGCGGCTTGGCACGTCTGGGAGCTGTCACAGATGAGGGCAATGTCGTCTGCATACTCTAAGTCAAGAAGTCGTTCTCCTGGGAGTAGCTCCACACCTTCCAAGTCATGTCCTGTAAATGCAATCTCCATGACTTCGTCAATAGCGAAGTTGAAGAGGAAAGGTGACAGCGGGCATCCTTGTCTCACACCGCTGGAGATATTGAGGGGTGGCGACAGCCTGCTGTAAGCCCTTACTCTGCCCGTGCTACGCGCATATAATGCTTGGATAATATTTACATATTTCTCGGGCACACCTTTCCTGAATAGACAATTCCAAAGGGCACATCGATCAACCGAATCGAAGGCACCTTTGATGTCGAGGAACACGACTACGGTGGGCCGCCAATATGTGTGACGGTGCTCCAACAACTGACGCAAGGTGAAGATGTGGTCGATGCAGCCACGACCCCGACGAAACCCGGCTTGCTCCTCACGAATCTGGCTTTCACGAGCGCCAGTCAGTCTGTGGAGAATTATGGACGCGAGTAATTTGGAGGCGATGGAGATCAGACTGATTCCTCTATGGTTGCTGCATTCCGAGCGCGAGCCGCCTTTGAAGATGGGAACAATAACGGAGCGGCTCCAGTCGGTTGGGACAGTTTTCTGCTCCCACAGTTTCACTAGTAATTCATGCAAAGCATCAACAAGAGCAGAGCCTCCGAATTTGAAGAGGGCTGGAGGAAGATCATCTGGTCCCGCGGCTTTGTTCAACTTCAACAGTCCGATCTCACGTTCGACTTCTGAGCGAGAGGGTGGATCCAAAGGGACAGCCCACGGAGCGGGGCGATCAGTAACCGGCGAATCGAACAATTCTAGCCGATTAAATTGCTTTTCAAAATGCTCAGCCCAACGCTCCAAACGTTTTGACAAATTGTGGATAGGCTGTCCACTCTCGTCACGTATAGCTTCACTAACACCAGGTCTCCTGCTGCCCGTTTCCCGTATCAGACGGAATAACTTACGATGGTTGCCAAGGGCAGCGGCCACTTCCATCTCTGACGCACGATGAGACCACCAAGATTCGCGGTCTCTCTTCAGGCTAGCACGGAGTTTTGCCCGGAGCTCTTTGCGAGTTTCATTGTGCTCGCTTCCAGCCGGGATTTGCCGGCGAGCATCTATAAGTTCCAAAGACTGCGAAGAGACCCAATGTCCATGTTGTCTATTAGACATACCACATGAGGATTTGCCTGCTGCTAGTAAGGTCTGGCGAACATGTGACCAGTGACCATCAATTGTCTCCTGTGAGCGCTTGCTCAACTCGCATGTTAGCGTACTTCGATACGCATTCAGAACAGCTGGTTTTGTCAGTTGGCTGGTGTCAATACGCTCACAGCGTCGTCGTGGGCGTCCGCCAAAACGCATCCGCATGTCAGCACATACAAGTGCATGATCGGTGTCCACACATGTGCTCCAAATCGAGCGACAGTTCTGGATGCAGCCTCTCCAGCGGTAACTTATCGCAATGTGATCGATCTGCGTGCAAGGCTGGTTCGAGGTTGGTGGGCGCCAAGTCACCCTTCGGCGGGTGCTGTGTCGGAAATTAGTGCTCGCAAGAAATAAGCGAGCATCTTCACACAAATGAAGTAACCGCTCACCGTTATCATTACGGGAGCCTACACCGTGTTGACCGCCCAGATGCATTTCATCAGTGGACAACTTTCCAACTTGTGCGTTCATATCCCCCGCCAGCACAACAGTGTCCGTGCTTCTTCTGTGGCGAAGGAGCTGGGTCAGTTGGCGGTAGAAGTCGTTCTTTACCGAATCATCGCTACAGTTTGTGGGCGCATAGGCAACGATGATGAATAGACATCTATTAGTCCCGCGCGACTTCGAAGCTTTAAACGAGCCAGCCAATCGGACCGCACACATCCGGCTACTGATTGGAATCCAATCAACCAGAGCAGCTTCAGCCCGGGGACTCAGGGCAATACCAACACCGGCTTGGCCGGTGCTCGAAGCTGCATCGTCACCGGATAGGCGCAAGGAGAAAATACTGCTTGCGTCCCCTGAAAGGGATCGCAGAGTGAGCACAGTGCTCGAGTCTTGCAGGCGAGTCTCTGATAAGCAGCAGATATCGATCGAGAGGGTCTCCAATGTTCGGGCAAGTGCTGCCTGTTGACCGATTTGTAGCAGTGTGCGTACATTGAGGCATGCCAATCTGAAGGAGGATCGAGGGCTCCAAATGGAAGCCGATGAACTGGATTGGACCGCTTGGTTGGACATGGGCTTGTCGACAGGAGAGGAGTGACGCTCCGCGTTCACGTGTGAGTTGAAATTAGAAGGTAAATGCCTAGCAAAGCATGTTGGGGGAGGGCCAAGAATCGGGGGGTTGAAAACTGGGGGGATATAAGTGAAGTTGGAATGGGACGGTAAGAGTGGAAAAGCGTAAGAGAGGGAATAAGAAGACGGGAAGGCTTGAGCAGTAGCATCCAAACCCCTATCCACCCTGCTCGATGCAGCAGATAGGGCACCGTTTATTATCCTCTGCGGTGGCCAGAGCATCAAGAAATTGTTTGAAGGAAAATTCATAGTATTGCGTGGGCAGGATACTGTCAGGTTGCCCAGGCCTAGACAGGAGAACGATTAGGGTTCTCAACCAAAGCCTTTGGTTCAAAAACCTGACCGCAAGGCAGCGGGTTTGACGTTGGGCTACAAGGAGTCCATTTTAAGGAATAAGGTGCCACCCTCATTCCAACCCCCAACCTGGAGGACCAGGAGGCTGAGTTTGTCTGGCCTCTAACCATTGACCAATCTGGTATGAGTGACTCTGAAGGTGCAAAAGCACCACCCAGCGTAGCCCAATGGATCGCTGAGGCACACAAACCATCGCACCACGGTAAGGTCCAGCCTCATTGCGATGGGTTTCCATGACGCCTAACAACGAATCGATTGTAGCACATACACACAGGTTTCTTTGGCCCACTGAATGGCTAACAACATCTGATATTTTTCGTCTCGCTGGGCAAAATGCCGATGGGTTCCTGCATGCAACACGCAACCAGTGGTACAATAGCCAACATATTTAGAGGACGCTAGGCCATCCTGGAATCCTGGAGGCACTAGGAACAGACCACGGCTTACGATTGACCTTTTCCTATTTTGCCAGGTAATTCACGCAGGAGACAATCGGGAACTCAGGTCCATCAAACTTACGTCTTAGTCCAGCAGATGGTTGGTGGGATGTGTCGGCACTTGAAAACACCTGTTGCCGAAGATGAGGTGAGGGAACCGTGTTCTCTTGCTGATGAACAAAGCAACCCCGAGCCCCACTGAACACATTCCTTCCGATCTCCACACTTTCCCCAGGGACGGATCATAAAAAGAGAAGAAATATCGCAGTCAATAGAACTAGATACAAACGCTTCTTTTCCGCCTTGGCAAAGCTTTGGTAAGAGCCTATTGCGTGCGACGATCGCATCGGACCACGAACTCAATCCTGAGTAAATGCGAACAGATGTTCCACAAAGTTAAAGCGGTTGACTGGATTTTATCGAACTACGTCAACCGGCCCCGACTACATGGCGCCAAGACGATTGCAAACCAGCGATGTTTCTTACCCGACTGTTCCAACCGATCCGTCTCGATATGCGGCCAGAAAGTCGAAGACATCTCGAATTCACCCAGAAAAATTGTCTCTGAAGGGTTAAATGTTCATCCATGACATCGGATTGGTTGTCTAAGGAAATTGTCAGTCAAAATGCGAGTAAATCTGAGGGGTGGTTTCGCGTTCCTAACTTTTATATTAGATCATGTTGTAGCAATGTTTCGCTCTTGATGGATTATATTCTTCAGACTAGATAAATCTATACCTAATTAATGTTGTTTTTCTAATAAATTCGGAGCGTAATCGCAAAAAATGGTACTGGTCAACATCTAAGCTCGATTACAGTTCCAAGTTTGGAATAGGAACGAAAATGGGTTGCTCAGGTTGTTCTGGTGGCAGTCGAACTGTTCGCTGAGCTTGGCATTTTTGTTGCCAACATTTCGTCACCACTCGAGATAATATTGTCAGCGCTGATGACTGCCACAGTTCCAAGTGTTAAAAAGTCATTCTAGTGATGCAATTGGCATGGAAAGTTTGGATTAAACTGTGTTACAAGCACGTATATGTGAGACATTTTTGTTCTGTTCGGTGGTGATTCTGATGCTTATAGTTCGTCGTCCACGTTCTAGCCTGGGTCCGCCCGCAAGCCCATTTCCACCGTCTTGGTAGTTAACCTTTGACTTGCTGATCGTACTCCTCTCCTACTGATCTCGACATTATCCCACTGAATATTTCGATACAGGTTTTGCGAGCCCGTTTTCATGTTCCAATCCCTGGTGGAACCCCAGAGTAATCCAGGTTGGAATTGGTTGTCTTGGAGCCAATAATTGTGAACACCAATGTTTACCCTAGAATTCATAACGACATTCCTCTTAGCTCTGTTGTCAAATCTCATTTGATTACTAATGAGTAGACGGATTTTGTTTGATTCTATTTGTCTTATTTGTAAGCAGTAGAGGAATTTGTTAGGTTTTGTGTAGGTTCGTCGCAGTTAGATCGACAGCCACCACACATCCAGGAGAGCGCTAGACGACCGTTTCGTCCTATTGGGACTCGTCAGTAGCGTGCACCTGCCGGATTCGAACCCACAACCTTACTCTTGCGAGTCAGCGACTTATGTCACTGAGCCATGGGCGACGGCAGCGGACCGCCATGACTGATATCTAACTTCGATAAAGTGCGGCTCATCCTCCACTGTCTTGCATGTTATGTATGTGCAGAGGACAGGGCTGGCCCCCAGAGATCGATCACCTCTATTATTGAATGCGTGACTTAATACCGCACTACCGCATTGTCACTTTCTTTTTTCGTGCGGCGCCTTTGCTTTTCACGTCAATACTTGTATCTGACAATGAGAAATTATTTTATGAAACCATCTTCTTTGTTTTATGTTCGCATATTTCCCCACATTCACCTCTCTGTTGTTTCATCTTTGTTGCCTTCTGTTATCACTGCGGGGATGCATCGCACTCCTATGTTCGTCCCATGGCTAGCACACTGAACCGTTGCACCCTTCTAGAGTCTTTCGATGCGCTTTGATATTGGTCGTGTGCATCTCCGTATGCCTTTATCCCCCCCCCATGCCGGCATAACAACCACTATCGACTGTATTGTTTATCTCGATCACGATGTCTACCACTCCGTGTGTGACCCTATTTCCTGTCATCTATGCGATTAATATTGGCAAGTATCCAACTTATGCTCTTGGTTCTACTTTGTGTAAAATTGAGCTTCGTTACTACTACTACTACTATTATTCTGGTGATTTTGTTATAACTTGCTGTTCCCTTTTAATCGCTCTTATCTGCGAATGCGTTTCACCCGCGTTCTTTTTGAGCAATCCACTCCGTCTGTATGTGTTGATCTATATACAGATGCCATCTTTTGCACGTGCTGCTGTACCACCCATCTCATGCAACGTATAGTGGATACCCATTTGCATTTTTTCTTTTAAAGGGAAAACTTTGAGAGAATTATCGATCCCCGTAGCTTTCGGGACGAAATTAGAACCTTCAAGCTGGATGTGACTGTTCGCGATCCATCTCAACGCCTTCATGTGGCACCCATCTATCTACGGTGAGTCTCAGCTTTCACTCTGTTCTTTGACAATTCCGCAACTTCTCCACCAGTCACTTACTCACTGACCTCTTGCAATCATTGACTTAACGAGTTTGTTATGTGTTTTGTGAGTTGCAAACTGAAACGTATAGACCTACATGAAATACCGAAGGTCTTCATCTCTCTGGCGCTGTAGGCATGTGGCTGGATCTATGACATTTACTTGCTCGATATCTACCTGTTTATTTGATTAAACTCGCGATTAATGATCTTTGTTCAGTTGATAACGCTAGTTTATCTTATTTTATTCCATTGGAATAGACGTCAACAGTCACCTTAATATTTTGAAATCGATCTGCCATTTCCTAAGCCATGCAACTGTCTACAGAAAACTATCCCACAAATTCTTCATGATGCGTGAAGCGTGATCTCGCCACCCATACTTATTTGCACTCTGAATGATCTGTCCGGACAATCCCACCTGGAGACGGAGCCGTACCCGAATCAGGTGCTACTTAGCAATCTGATGCTTAATCTCAGCACTGCAACTCTTGCTTTCCTAAGGAATGGAGCGAAACACCACTGTTCTTTTCTATCACTGTACCCGCCACTCAAAAAAATACACCTCACTTATCTAATTGTTTATGTCATTTCAAGTGGTCAGAATGTCAAGCGGGTTTTTCATGTGTGTTGGTAAGGTTCATATGGGTTTTTCAGAGCTTCTTCCAATTGCAGACACGGAGCGATATCGACTTAACCACTTCGGCGCACAGTGTTCTACGCTGCGTGCAGTTATCGTCACAGTTCGAATCAAAGACAACCTCTGCGCATTGGCATCAACTATCTATCGACGGGTGCCTCTGATGTGTCACTCAAATGCGGTGCAGCTCGGACTGAGAAATACGTCATCGGGGTTTCCGCAACACTCTAGTATCTCTTTCATTCAGATATCCTACTCTGTCTGGATCATATCTTTCCTATGCGAATCAGCGGGCTACCATACCTGTGCCGTTTGCCGTTGCTACGCTTAGCTGAACAAGAGATTTCTGTGCTCAGTTGTGGATACGGTGAAACGCATGTACAAAATGATTTAGAGACTCCATCGAGTATGACTTACTGAGTGCTTTATCGCATGTGATTCTGTCGTGGAGTCGCGTTAGCATCCTCTCGATCTTATGACATGTATTCCAACATTCCTCCAGTTTGGTCGATTTTTTGTTTACTTACCTGTTTCATCCGTTTGTGTGTGTGTGCCCGATTGATCGCTGGATCTGGGAATTTTAGAGCGCGTGCACTCTCCAACACTCCGCCATACAACAACGCATTGACTATGGCGCATCGATGGACGCCGAAACTTTTGCAACGGAATTGCAAAGCTGAGATACCGGCGTTTGCTCCTACTTCGTCCCATAGTTTTCACCTATCGTGGGGACGCAAACGGTTGCATCGGTTTCGAACCTTCACGCCATTTATTTCTGTTCTCGTCGTTACTTGTTTACCAATCAGTTGAACTTAGATTTTCCACATGATGCAGAGAGCAACGATTTTACTTGGGAGAAAAAAAGTTAAACTTTATATGCCAGATCAACTGTGATCAGTTCACCTGAACCTTGACAAGGCGTGGTGGTCGATGACCGAAAGAGTCAGGCGCCTGTCTTGATATCCGGGGGTTCTCTGGTTCAAATCCACGGTCCACCCAGCCCATGCGCGGCTAGTAGTGGTTGCGTGCTATCGAAGCATCGGTACAGGGTGCCGGCCTACTGATGACGCCATGTGACCGTTAGCGTGTTTCGGTGACCCAATTAGCTGAATGAACTTGCAATTTCCAAAAACCTTTTAGCTACGCATGACGGATAGCCCAATGGTCAGGAGTTGGACGAATTCGCCTTATCTTCCTTCCCACCTGAAAGACAGGAGAGATCAATGACTCTCTTCCCTCCATTGTCTTTGACAGCTGGACGAGAAAGCTGATTGCCAACGCGCGCGTGTTTGCCACAGATCGAGCGTGTTGCCAGCCGAAAGCTGATGAAATCGCGCATCAGACAGCAGGCGTGTTGCCAAGGCCTGACCGGAACCTGATGAAATAGCGCGTCAGACATCACGTGCGTTGCCATGCACCGGGTAGGCGGACGAAGATTGGTGCTCGAGCAAGACGGTGAACTAGACAGACGGACCGGACAAGCAAGTGTGAAGTGTGGGCTTACAGCCAAATCCGCCTGGTGACGTTTGGAGGGTTGGTGAGACCAACATATAAACATGAGCGTTCTCTGTCCTAAGACAACTCTGGTCTGCTGAGTCTACTTCTGTCTTCCTTCCTGTCGGGTTTGTCAAGGCGTCAAACAGAGCAGGCGTAAGGGCGCAGATTTACCAGCAGGCGTGAATCAACCGGTCGATTGCGGGCACAGCGTTATAACAGTCTTCGTCTGTGTTATTGAACTGCTGCAGCATATTACAGCTGAGTGGTTTAAAGATAATGGAGAGGTAGTACAGTTTCACAGAAATTTCTTTAGATCCTTTTGATGAAAGGGACAATATTCGGCAATTTTCAGTTCGATGCACTAAAACGTGTTCAAAGGAACATTTAGGTTAACAGGTAGTGATTTGCTTTTTTCTTAAGGCAGGGACGGAAGGTCCTGCGGCCTAGGCGACACGATACGTTTCAGCAGAAACAAGAAAGAACGAAAGACATCAGCAGTACGCCGGTACGCAGTGCCGTCGCTTCGCTCCTGCGCAACCACCAACAGTCATATGCGGGCTAAGGATACCGCTGTGTCCGGATGAAGTATATGACTACAAATGGGTTTCCGACCGATGTTTGGATGTCGGTAGGCGAATTACCTTAACATTCATATCTCCCCCGACAAAAACCATATGCGCACACCTGGCGATATCAACGATGGCTATGTTGTCTACGGAATTAGATTGGCGTATCTTCAGGCGCAAGTGATGCACTTGCAAGTAACTTTGAAGTGGGTTTGGATATCTGCGACCATTTACCGAGATACCTTGTAGAAGGCTGATTTGCACATTTCTTCGGAGTTTGACGCAGCCATTGTGGACGCCACATGTCGGGCGTGCGGTGTTACCAACTTGTAATAACTGCCTTAGAACGCCACCGCTTTGTATGTGGTTTTCGGCGACTCAGTGCAATGGACCGAAAAATAAAACATTCTGGTGTTTGACAACTCGATATGTGATACCAAGCGCTACGGCTGTAAGAACTGATGGGTTGAAAGGGAGATTTAGGAAGTACAAAGTGGACAGAAGTGTAGCGATTGCTGTTGTCAGACTTCGACGTACGGATGTCGCTATTGACTTCCCAGCCCCTTTAATGATTACTTTCCAATTCAGTAGTCGGAATCGCAACACGGTTGTTTAGAGTGTGTTTCACTTTGGCTCAGTTGCTGCGGCGTTCGCTGAGCTGGACAATTTCCTTGCAAACATTTCGTCACCAGTCTAGGTGACCTCGTTGGTGCGTGTGAGTGGACGGTCTCGTAACAGAAGCTGGTGGAACTCAAAAGATTTAGATTCGTACTCGTCTTTTTAGATGGAGGCTTCGGAAGCATCCAGATCCGTGAGGGTCATGGCGCAGTCGTTTTCACAGATTTAACTGTTGCTATTCCACCTCGTTTAACTTCACTTTTTCCTTATCTCCATTTTCTTGCCATTTTTTAATGAAAACAGTTTCCTTCAATAGTCTGGATAACACAATGAGAAGACGAACATTGGTTGGTGCTCGCATTTCGTATTGTCTCATCAGTACTGATGAGACAATACGAAATACGCGCATCTACCATTTGTTTTTATCCTCCTAGATGTAACCGCCTCACCTCTGTGTTCGGATCGTAACTGATTTACTAAGTGCAAAGGCCATCCATGACAACCGCATTTGGTAGCTTTGTTTTCTGTTTATGCGTTCAGTCAACTTATCTTCCGTCGGTTCTCTAGTACTTAGCGTTTAACTTCATGTGTTCTCCAAATCGGCGTTGCATTTACTAGGTTTGTAGGCCTCCAATCTTAGGGTGATTATTTAAAATTCTTTGAACCTTCGTGAACCAATCGAAGGGTGATTAATTACTGTGGCATTTTTTGTTTTCGACTTACTGAAGTGCGGTCATCTTGCATCTGTTACGTAAAATTACCCAACGTGATGCGCTTAACTTGGTTCGTATTCACTTCATATCCTGTATATTTTTCCCCACAGCCTACTCTATGGACGTCTGCAGGCCTCTAAGTCGACCTTGGCTCCAGCAATCCTCACTAACCTCGCCTCTTGTTCCTCGACAGAGTTCAGTGGGTTTCTTCATCTTCTGCTTCAGCCATTGCTCCGAGAGTGCGTCATACCCCCGGATGCTTCGCTGCCACACTCCTCATCTGCGTGCTTACGGCTTGACTCTTTGGAGCTGGTTGATTTTATTCAAAGCCTACGTGACCGCGTGCGACTTGCATGCACAGGCCAAGACTCTCTCTCTTGGGCGAGGCTACAGGCGTAAGCAACTTTCACACTGTTTTGCTCACTACCACTACTGGCCATGTGCATCTGTTGCCCGTCTCATTAGCCACCTCGTTCGCTTCCCTGCCTAATAGCCTCTCCCATTGAAACTCCTTTGTCAGGACGTCGTTTGTATCAGAAATCACTTAAGGTAACAAACCACTTTTGCATTCTCCGTCGCATGTGCTGCGTCTGTCTGTCCATAGTGAATTAACTACGGATTGCTGTTTTAGAGTATCCTCAGTGTGTTTTGGTTGCGAAGCGCAATCTCACTTTTGATATCGATGCACTCTGAGGCGAACGTCGGCTATCCTGTTCGGTAGGACTACATTCAAAATGGAGAGCCTTAACTTCATAGCTCCTGACGCTTCAATTTACCGCCAGTTTCGTCCCTTTTAGGACTCCCTACACATAGATAGGTTGAAATATGCTTGGTACCCGATACAAGGTAGTTACCGATCAGTACCTTGGGTGCTTGACCATTACGCTTCACGAACAACGCTGACCACAACGGTTACGGAATGACATATGGATTTTGGAATAACCATTGCTAGTTTTGCTTTTTACGTACAATCGCACCTGGGAGGATGATTCACTTGAAGTAAAATTCCGCGTCAATCGCTACATCCCAGGTTCCTCCGCCAGTTCAAGTTATCTCTACCTGCGGAAACCAAACAAGGACTGACTCGGTCGTTTAGTGAGGTGCCAAATTCAGGTAAATGCGCATGGCTGATCCTCGCTATTGGTTATTCGTGTCCCGGAATGCTGATGTTGCACCCATATGCCATGCGGGAGTGCGCACAGTCTTCAGATCCATGGTTGTTTCCTCGCTAGTTGGTTTCATTCCATTGTACAATCTCCTGTATGCCAACCGTTCGGCTGCCACACGACGCAGCACAAGAGTCTGCGCCAATCAGCCACAAGCCTTTACCCACCAACACCGAATACTACTGCCCACTAGTTGGTACCTGAATGCGGAATCGTGGCATCTAAGTTCTTCAGAAGCTCTATCCGGTGGCATATCCAGATACTGTTGAAAATTTATCGGATATGTGCGCCAAGTACCTAACATTACAAAGGCGCACTAACACAAAGTACATCGGAGATTGGTATGCTATTTGGCTCTAGTCAGAAAACGACCAGCGGTGGATTTTGCATGTGTGATATCGCTGTAACTGCTACGTGGCGTAGTTCTATTCGTGATCACGACTTGTTTTGAACACAAGTCTTAGCTTTAATTATGTCTTTTTCTCGGGCTACTGTGGATCAAGGTAAGCGGTGTTCCCCTCCCCCTTCCCAATTGGTAACTAAGACACCGACAACGCAAGCTTAACAGGATGCTGTTGTTACGTCTCCCGCAGTTAGAACTGAGTGGCCTCTTTAAGTAGACAGAAGCGAACACCGTTTGACAAGGTGTTGTGGCACAACGAACACCAAACCGGGAGAGAAAGTAAAACCACTACAGTCTTTCGCGGATGAAACCAGATTTTGTTCTACAGCGCGTGAAGATAAAATGTAAGCTTTTACGGACGCAACAAAAATAAAAATGCTTTTTTTGAATCGCTTAATCACAAAGCGGCTGGAGAGTAAAACTTACTGTTGTAATACATGCACAGGGCTGTTTGTAAACACTTAAGCATTTACTTTTTAGACACCGTATTTCGTTCCGTTTCTGTATAAATGCAGTCCACAGACAAGTTCTGCTTTGCAGACAGATTGCTGCTTCGGGATAAGCTTAATCTAATCCTAACAACAGCATGGTATGTTGTTACTGTGTTTCTGCTTGCATCTCATCGACTTTCGTTGAAGTAGGATCTCTTGCTGGAGCAGCAATGTTAGCATTTATCACTTCAGTTATCACACTTCAGTAACTGAGGACTTTTCGACACGGACTGAGGAAGATCTTACTTGCACATAATTGCGACTTAGCTGGTCCCATGCGTTAACCTACGAGAGTTTCTCACAAGGGTGATACCTTGTACATAACAAAGACATGATAGTTCATTCTCATCAGATCTGTTCTTACGTTAATCACAGGATTTCTGGACCAGCTGTGTAACCTGTTGTCCACAGTGCACCCGCCAGCGGATATTGTGTGACAATATGGGATGCCACATTCGTTGGTGCTGTACTTACCTTGGTACAGTGGGAAGGAGCATCTGCAAGCAGTGGTTCGCTGCAGCGATTGCCGCAGCGGTTAACCCACTTGCTACTACACCATGCCTGTGGAACCTACCTGTATCTCCTTCCGTGGAATCGGGCTTCAGTTTGTCAACGTTAACTTGTGATTGTTTGTAGTCCACTTTTACGCAACTTAGCTAACCTTTGTCCCACACACTTCGGCAAACGATAGAAAACGGAGGCGCTGATGAACCAAACTTGCTCGCTTATAGCATGGGCCACAGCCATTGGGTAAGGTGTCCATACCGTATAATTTTGAAGTAGCTTGACGCATGCAACGTTCGTACGGTGGGTTGACGAGAATCCCGGTACCTGCGTTGCCGTACTTCCTATACCCAACTTCATCATCTCAGAACCAAGCGGAATGCGTTTAAAGAAGCGGACAGGGACGCAGATACGGTACTGCACCCACCAGGCTTGATCCCCTTCTCAGTTGCTGGTTGTCAGACTCGGTCCAAGCACTACATCTATTCGCACGTAACCCGACAAGTACGGTAGACGGCGTACTCAACATTAGACGCGACACGTGTGACACGAAAGTGGGGTCGGCGAATTGCTTCTTCCGTGCGCGCCCGTGTGTAAATGTGACCAATCAGAGTAAAATGGCGTTAGTTATTGTCGATCTTGAGGTGGACACGTGACACGGATGTGAACGCGAGCGTTTGTCCATCCACGCATTGACGACATCCATGTTCGCTGAATCTAAACTGTGTCACGAAAGATAACCAAAATGGCCGACTGTTGGCAAGAGAGGCAACCGACACGCAGTTGCCACGTCGCTGTTGTGGCGGTGTTAATCTAGCAAACCAATTGCCAATGCATAACTCATAATGTTGAGTCGGTTCGAAACTATGATACGTGTGGGATACGTAAAACGTACCAAATATTACTTGAAAGGAGCGTGTGGTGGTGGGCCGACCAGATAGATTGCATGGTTTTACTTTAGGAAGTCAAACAACTGCCGGCCTCTCCTTCATCATTCTACACGTCAAATGGAGGTGAAAAATACCTCAGCCAGTGTGCCGCAATACATTCGAGGGGGAAATATTGAAATGACATGACGCAAAGTACAAAATCGAACCAGCTACAATGATGCTTTTTATCATTATGCATCTGTAGTGAGATGGTGGTTGGAGGAGATCGGGATGAATACAGGAACTCATAATACAATAACCATTGAGCTCGTCTACTGATGTCTCTAATCAAACGTGTTCATTGTTTTTAGGACCCAAACCAAGTAACCGGGAGGTCCCAACCATAACCCACTTAGAAATGACGAACTTCATTCTTCTTGACCAAGTCATCAGTTAGCCTCCATCTTCCATTCACGCCCCTGTTCCAAACGTCGCGGGAATCGGTGTGCTGGCATGCGTAACAGATGACCCCGCCATCGGAGCCTGGTGCGTGAAATATCAGTGCTGCGCGGTTCACTACCTTTTCCCTTGCCATAAACAAGACGTTGTACACGTCCATTGCTCACACCATGTTCCCAATATAAAATAACGTCTTACTTGAGCACAACCCACTCCGAACGGAAAGCAAGAACACACGGCGCTGGGATGAGCTGTGTTGAAAAACTGACATAGCTGAGTAACCGGGAGGCACAAACATCAATTGATTAATCACATGAATTTCTGGATATTCTCTCTTCCTCCATTTTAATTAATGCTCGCTTAAACGTATCGACAAAACGTTAAGCCTGTCCTTTTGACTGTGGATGGTATGCTGGCGTGCGTATGTGTTCGATGATCTGTGAGTTGCAAAAGTCAGCAAATACTTTAGAAATGAATTGGGAACCATTGTCCGAAACAGTGGTTTCGGGAACACCGAATTATGTGATGAGATGGCGTAGGTGTAACAAAACACCGGAAGTGGTTGCGTATCTCATTTGAAAAATTTCGGGCCACTTTAATTCCACATCGACAATTACCAGATAGTGGAAACCCTCCAAGGGTCCATCAAAATCAATCTGAATGCGAGACCATGATTCACTGTGAGTTTGCCAAGAATGAAGCTCTTATTTCACAGGTAGTTTTGCTGCCATAGCACAGCTGTTTCAGGAACGAACAACATTTTCAATCTCCTGGTCCATGAATGGCCAGTAAGCATTGCTGCGGGCTATGGATTTCATACGACTGATTCCCGGGTGACCTTCGTGGAACTGACTGAGAACCTCCTTCTGTAGAATCTTAGGAATCACAACTAGGTCAGATAACATCAAGCAACCATCCATGTTGATTAAGGCGAACTTCCTTTTACGAAACTGCTCACCATAGCTGTCCAAGGGGCGTGCAAGCCACCCGTGCTAAGGTACCCAATAATACGTTGTAACGGGGATCTTTTGCTGTTTCTACTCGGAGTGCGTCTGCTCTGACTGAAAGTTGACGTACAGATATTTAAAATACTTGTCTAATCTCGGAATCTAAGGTGATGGATACAGCATTGTCTTCATCCGCTGTCTTGGACGTGCAGTCGGCAATTACTCTGGATAATGCGTCAGCATGCTCAAGCGAAGACGCACTTTTAAAACTCGAATCGAAATCGTATGCTCATTGGGTGGTTGTCCAACACTGTAATCTGTTCGCCGTGTGAACGGGGATTCCTCGTTTGGTGCCAAAAATAGACAGCAAAGGTTTATGGTCTGTGTACAAAGTAAATTTGCGTCCATGTACCATCTTATGAAATTTCTTAACCTCAAAAACGAGAGCTAGTCGTTCTTTTTCTGTTTAACTGTAGTTCTTTTCTGCTACTGTCAACGCGCAGGAAACATGCATCACAGGCTTTTGATGTCCATTTGGGGACTGATGCAACAAGAC